TACTTGAACATTGTAGTTTCTGGACCCCTGACATTTGCAGAAGTCATTGCCTTGAAATTGAGGAAACCAGATGCCCTGAGACCGTTCTTATATTGTCAGGTTTTGTCAGGTTGTTTCTTTTCATCTGGGGTATTGTTTTTGTTCTTGTTGCGTGAGAGGAAAATTTCCAGGGTGGTTGTGCAGCGAAAGGAAGCCCTCGAGGAAACCATGTATGCACATTATACCTCAGGTCTCAACTCCCAGAGTGAAGAAGATCCAAAGGAATTGACGCAAACGGAGGCTGATTTGAACGAAAAGAGATTACGCAAGTATGAGTTCTTGTTAAAGGGTGGGGTTAAAGGTTACTTGGCCCGTATGCTATACCCAATAAAGGCATGATTATGGCAAATGTATATATATATATATTCTGGATCATTATTAGATTTTAGTTCTCGTATTTATGTATGTAAAACAGAGATGTATGGAGTATTCGAGGGTAGTGTGGAGAGTACTAACGGAAGCTAAAATGAATTTCTCCACCCTTTCGGGTAAATGTTCCTCCGGGTGCATGATGCGTTTCTATTTTTCGAGCTTTGAACTAACCCTGCGATCTTCGTATGGCGAGCGGGGTAGCTGGGCTTCATGCGAGACAATTGAGGGTCTTTCAACAATAAAACACGCTGGAAAGACAGGGTAATTTTCAGCTGAAGTATAAAACAAAATATAAATAACCAACAGAAATGTTATCTCTCGTGTAACGCATTAGGTATTGGCTATAAGGAGACATATGGCCTTCTACACCTCGAAAACCTCTTTGCATCCTATGAATTGAACCCCTGTCACTGCTAAACCATAGGAACCAAACTTCTATTGAAGCTAAGATCCTTACAATCGGTATATATTTATTACACCATGTCTACAGATAAGCATACCAATATAGGGGGTGACTCCTCTCTGTTTGGCTGTGATAACCCCGCCGTCTCCGGCTCTCCCTCTAGGAAACCAAAGTTGTCTACCGAGAATAGACACTCTCTTTCCAGGATAGCTAGTGTCGCTAGTATCCATAGTAATGTCACAGGAAATGGCTTTGACGCAGAATCCATATGCTCTGCACATTCTGGTTCGAGTCGTTCTATCTTGAGGTTTAACTCTGTCAGTTCCAACCACTTTACCCAGAGGATCACCCTGGTTATTGACGCAGTGAAGGACGAAAACATAATCACGCATAACCAGGAAACCGGACCGATTATGATTCCGGACTCTGGTATGAATATCATTCAGACACAGCTTTCGAGACAAGCTACTAATGTCTCGAGAGATGCAAGATCCGGGATCCACGTTAAGACACAAGATTGGACCTCTGACCCCGAAAAAATAGTTGACAACAATGGAAAAGAATATACTAATGAAAGCGATGGTGACGAACATGATCCCTCTGGTGGGGCTCCCGATGGAGGCTACTCCTGGGTGATTGCTGTCTGCTGTTGTTTCCTCAGTGTTTCCACCTGGGGTGCAAGTTCCTGCTACGGTGTATTTTTGAACTTCTTTCTCTCATCGGACTATTTTGCAGGGGCAACTGATTTTGACTTTGCTATTATTGGTGGGCTTGCTGTCGGAATTTCTCAGGTATTTTCGCCGTTTGTGTTTATCTTTGTCTCGTACTTGGGCTTAAAACCTACAATGATTATTGGTTTAGCAATCCAAACTCTGGGATACCTCTTGGCCGGCTTTGCCAGGTATAAGTGGCAGCTTTACATGACCCAAGGTCTCATGATTGGGGTTTCATTCTCGTTGGTTTTCACGTCTGGCATTGCCATTTTGCCTAATTGGTTTTACAAGAAACGTGCCCTTGCTTCGGGTATCACAGTCAGTGGGTCTGGCTTAGGTGGCATCGTTTTCTCTTTATCATGCAACAGTTTGATGCAAAAAACCGGAAGCCATCAGTGGCCATATATCATGGTAGCGATCACTACCTGCACGATGTGCAGTATCTGTATCATATTGATTCAAGAGCACCCGAAGACGTCCCCCAAGTACAAATCTATCGCACCTCGCCCAAGTCTCTGGGTAGTCATGAAGACGGTTCTCAATCCACACATCGTGTTAAATCTAGAGGTTAACTATGTTGCCATTTGGTTTGCTTGCTGGAACGCCGCCTTTATTACCGTGCTCTTCTCTATGTCAGCCTACGCTTCTTCAGTCGGTTTAACCCATGGGCAGGGCTCAGTCATCACGGCGATTTTGAATGCAGGCCAGTTTGTGGGCCGCCCAATGTTGGGACACTTTTCAGATAAGTGTGGTAGGATCAATTTTAGTATTGTTATATCTCTAGTTGTGGTAGTATTGCTCTTTGCCTATTGGATCAATGCAACCACATACGGAAGCATCATTGGATTTGCCTTGTTATGTGGTTTGACATTGGGGATTGGTGCCGTGAACAATCAACCTTTGGTCTTAGAGGCCTCGGGGATAGAGTTATTCCCGGCGGCCTTTAGCTACTTGAACATTGTAGTTTCTGGACCCCTGACATTTGCAGAAGTCATTGCCTTGAAATTGAGGAAACCAGATGCCCTGAGACCGTTCTTATATTGCCAGATTTTGTCTGGTTGTTACTTTTCGTTTGGAGTATTATTTTTGTTCTTGTTTCGTGAGAGAAAAATTTCTAGGGTGGTTGAGCAGCGAAAGGAAGCACTCGAGAAAATAATGTGTACATATTATATCTCGGATCTCAGCTCCCAGAGTGAAGACTCAAAGGAATTGACGCAGGCGGAGGCTGATTTGAACGAGAAGAGATTACGCACATATGAGTACTTATTGAGTGGAGGAATGAAGGGTTATTTTGCCAGAATGCTCTACCCCATTAAGGCGTGAATGACGCATGTCACTTGAACAAAGTTATACAGGGTAATAAACTTTGTCTATACTACTGTAGTAGTGCGGTATATAGAGAATTATTATAGTCTTACACGTCTGGCTAGTAGAGAGGTACCGGTTTAATGTGTATTTCCGATAATTGTAGGATAAAGTCTGGCTTTCGACCCCCGGAGTTTCCCTTTTCTTTTAGATTCACGTTTAGTGACGACCAAATCCGCAGACTCCCCTTTCCGAAGTGAGCGACAACATTCTTGTGTTGTCGCTTGGCGACTTAGCGTTTAAATCAGAGAGGATTCTTAATTCCTGTGTTTGACCTACTGCCTTTATATAATTGTAGACTTCTACACAGTCTAACTGTGGTTAGCTTTGTTAGTAAACTCTAATTTGCCGATATCTGTGGATAAGACATTCTAGCCCAACCCTTGTGGCAGGGATTAAAGTATAGAACGTCTAAAGGTTAGGCTTCCGTCAAAACCAAAAGTATAACCTATATCGCTAAGTAATGGTGCGTTCAGGTTATCCGCGGCACTTCATGTGAACCCCACAATTTCCGCATGCACGGTAGCAGGTTGTTTTATTATACAGAATAACACGTTAGCCCTTAGCATATGCCTTGAGTAAAATGCATGTTAAAGCTCACTTAGACGATAATAGGTGTGCTGAATTAAATCACGTGGCGGTAAGATCCCGCCTTAAAACACATGCGAACCCCCATGTGTGGGGGCTCCAGATTTGCCTTTCGCATTGCCTGTAGCAGTTTTGCGGCCAGACTTACAGCTTAATATGGTGCATGGTAAGTTAGGATTCCACCCCGTGCGGGAAAGTTTACTGCATTTGGAACCTTTTTTTCATGCATGGCACACATACTAACTTCTCCGTTCAAATGCACGAATGATTCATAGAGGGTAAGATTTTAATCGGGAATTTTAGCCTTGAAACTTTGACCCCAAAATTTGCTTTAAAAGGAGTGACTTTAATAAAACATAACCATAGAGGCATTTACGTGCCATACTGTAAAACTAACGCAATCTATGGAGAAGCAAATCACCAACGACAAAGGAGACTTCCTGGACTCAGGTATCAGTTCCATCAACTCCGTGATCATTCCCGCCGTAGGCCAGCCTACCCAGCTCTGGGAAAGTGCTGGCGCTGGCGGTGAATCCCCACCACATTTTGGGTACTACAATGCTCGCCACGACGACCGTTCCGTGCACTCGAGCAGGTCAGATTTCCACTTGTCCAGATCCAATTCAGCACACTCCGGAGCGTTCTCCCAGATGCTCACACTGGTTATTGATGCGATCAGAGATGACAATTTGATTACCGAGCAACTGAAGTTTTCCGATGAAGTCATCATTCCCGGAACAGAGTTGAGTATGATCCAGCGCGAGGTTTCGCGACAAGCTACAAACGTATCATTCCGGGATGAAGCTTCTATTAGCACGGGGGCTTCCCGTCGTTGCCACCCTTCATTCCCATCTACAGATCCTGAAGAAGTGCAGCATAAACTCCATGAAATTGAGGAGCATGCGGATGAAGACGATCCCACTGGTGGGGCACCGGACGGAGGGTACTCCTGGGTTATTGCTGGTTGTGCCTGTGCCCTTGGGATTTCGACCTGGGGTGCCAATGCATCCTATGGCGTTTTTCTCAACTACTTTATTTCCCAAGACTACTTCCCAGGTGCTACCGATTTTGACTTTGCCATAATTGGGGGGTTGAGTGTAGGAATATCGCAGATCTTTGCGCCGTTTGTGTTCGTCTTTGTGTCCTACTTGGGCTTGAAACCGACCATGATTCTCGGGGTGGTGCTCCAAACCGTGGGGTACCTCTTGGCTGGTTTTGTCACCAAGCTCTGGCAACTCTACTTGACGCAGGGTCTTCTTGTGGGGTTGTCCTTCTCGTTAATTTTCACCTCTTCGGTGGCTATTTTGCCAAACTGGTTTTACTATAAACGGTCGATCGCAGCTGGCATCACCTTCAGTGGGACTGGAATTGGTGGTCTTGTCTTTTCGCTCTCCTCCGAAAAACTCATGCAACAGACGGGAGGTCAAAAGTGGCCCTATATCATGGTAGGAATCGTAACGTGTGTGGGGTGCTCTATCTGCATCTTGCTCGTGCAAGAACACCCAAAGGCCTCGCCAAGATACAAGTCCAAGCAGACAGGACGCCCGGCCCTCCTGGAGGTGATCAAAGTGGTGTGTAACCCGCGCATCGTCTTACACAAAGAGGTCAGTTATGTCAGCGTTTGGTTCACCTTTTGCGATGTCTCCTACGTTATTCTCTTGTTTTCCATGTCCGCGTATGCCACGTCTCTTGGCTTGACCCATAAACAGGGCTCCAACGCTACCGCGATCATGAATGTTGGACAGTTAGTTGGACGGCCTTGCATGGGTCACTTTTCCGACAAGTTCGGAAGGATCAACTTCAGTATCTGCACTTCCATCTTTGTCGGAGTCTTGGTCTTGGTTTATTGGATCAATGCTACTACTTATGGCAGCTTGATGGGCTTTGCGTTCTTGTGTGGCTGCACATTGGGTATTGCTTCTGTCAACTGTCAGCCGTTGGCCGTTGATGCGTCGGGTTTGGAGTTATTCCCTGCAGCGTTCAGTTATTTGAATATGATGGTGGCTGCTCCAACTACGTTTGCTGAGGTTATTGCCTTGCGCTTGAGAAAACCAGACTCTGCCAAGCCGTTTTTGTACTGCCAGATTCTTGTCGGCTGTCTTTTCTTAGTGGGGTGTTTGTTCTTATTCTTGTTGCGTGAATCGAACATTAGCCAGTTACTTGCTGAGCGCAAGGCGATTATCGAAGGGAAAATGCGCAAGCACTATTCTGGATACGGAAGCGGAGAATCCAAATCTCAAATGTCCCAGGAAGAGGTAGCTGTAAATGAAAAGAGAATACACAAGTATGAGTACTTGATGAAGCCAGGGTTCAAGGGCTATTTTACCCGTATGCTTTACCCAATCAAGGCATAATGGATATATTTAACGAGTCATGATGAGCAATATATAGCACTTGCGTGCATAGCAGGGTAACTTTCGAAAGGGGTGTACGAATTCAATGATAATGGGTTTTAACTAAGTTAAAGAGGTACATTTTTGGTTTATATGCTACTTTATATATCCTCGACCCTGGAAAGCTCCTAAATATGTAGCTTCTCTCACGATATGAAATCCCCTAGCGTGAAATGACGGCCTTATAGCTTTACTATGAGGCGATCATAAAGAGCACTAACTTAGACACATACAGGTAGTTATAAGAAAACTAGCACTAGCATCGTCAGTCAATTGCAATTAGTCATGGTTCCTCCAGATTTGAAGTTTAAGGGGCTGTAAAAAACCAAATCCCATGTTTCAGGCGTATCCTCCAATAAATAAGGGAGGTGAGAATAGTGAGTTGAATTAACCACGCCGAGAATGTATGTTTGGATCTGAACAGTCCTTCTGATTTATTCACCAGATGGCATTAGAACTGTATTTAAAAGTGTGGTCTAGTATGGATCACTCAACAACGATATATTATACATGTATGAGCCAACCTCTACGATGTGGCTATGGTATGCGACTTACCGCATGATATACTTTTGAATCAGACGATTTGGTATGGGATGCAGAGAGTTTAAACCTGTTGGATCACATGTTTAGCTCTCTTGATCGCGGGACCACTGTAGTTTTCCGAAGTCAGCATTACTCTTGATCCGAAGGCAGCCCGCCCATCAGTAATCATACATCCAGGTTTGACTGGCCGTTCTTCTATGGTGCCTTTTTCTTGCATATGTTGCGGAAATCGGAGGTCATAAAGTTGGGTATCCAGTGCCAGCTGTATATTGTGCTGCTTATGGATAAAAAATATTACTGCGGAAGAGATTTCCATTGGCCAAACCAAATTGGCGGAGTACATGTTGCTATGACAGCAGACTTTGGATTTCCTCAGACATGTATTATCTCATCAAAGCCTAGAGACTTGGCTGGATACGTTTGTGCATTGTTTGCTATTAACATTCAGAGGCTCTGCCCCGCTTGTCCTTCAAAGAATTTGGTTGATTCTTGGTCCATTCGCAATAGAAATACCGATCACTTGCTTGCCTTTTTTAACCAGTACAAGCTTTACAACCTTTCCATCTAAAATTGAATTGCTTCCGTCTTTTCTTCCATTAGGTTTCTCTTAAGCGCTCCAGAGGTCAAATAAAACTTTTCCTACAAAGATTAAAGAGGGAATGGAGGAGAATTTCTCTCTCCACATATTCTCTAACTTATGCTCAACCAATCCATGATAAACTTAAACACCCCATTGCATTTTTATCCTGGACTAGTCCCATATAGAGTCCCCAATTCCCCTTTCTTTGGAAGATTCTGTTCCAGTTATATCTCTGTCAACTAAGTCCACTCTTTACTCTATTCCTTTATTTCTTCTCCTCCTTGTATCCTGCAAAAATTTTCATGATATCATGGCAAGTAATCATCTCGTCCACTTTCTTTTCGGCGCGCTCAATTTCCGCTTGAATATGATCCTTCGCAGGTCCTTCGGAGCTCTCCCCGGGGCCTGCCTCCTGGCTTAAAATCAGCTCAAACGCAACTGAGTTTGAGCCACGACGTGTCCCTTCATTTTGGAAGGTGCTCCTCTGGAAATCACGGTCCATGCGGCGCTGCAAGGCCCTAGACGCCTCAGAGTTGTACCGCTTGAGACCGCCGCGAAGCTTAGACGCGGTAACTTCGTGTCCCATCTTGAAAACCTTGCTAAATGCTTCCTTAGAATGTTTCTTTTCCTCCGTGAGGGATATCACCGTTGATTGCAAGAACCCACAGTGACTGTAGAGCCTCAGTATCTCATTTAGCAACCGTTTCATGTCCCGTTCGTAGTCCTCGCGCCTCACAGTTCCATTCTCAAAGCCCAGCGCAGGTGAGGTCATAAGCACCGCTTCGCCAGCGCTGGGAGTTCCCACTGCTGCCGCTTCTATCAACGAAAAACCGTCAAATTCCACGAGGCCGGGGTGCGAGTCACTGTGCGGGGCTAGGGCTTCATCCAAGGAGTCCAGATCACTGTTATATAGCAACGCCTTATCCTCTTGCAACTCTGTGTACAGACTGATCGGCGGCGGCGGGCGGTCCGCAGGGTTGCACGAGAAGTAGAAGTTGCGCATCATAAGCGGAACTGTCATCTCGCCAAACATCCCGGGTCGTGTCTTGTTATAGTGTGCAAGGAGCTTCTCTTTATTGAAAGGTGCCAACCCGCAGCTGCGGAAAGTGTTGGCAATCGCCGCGGGCCTGAACACCTCGGTCCGCGCGCGTGCCACGAGCTCCATGAAGTCGCAAGGTACAAGAGGCACGCCGCGTGCGATGCAGTCGCTTGCCTTCGCAGAAATGTTGTCCTTGAACTGCGAGAACGGATTGCGGTCACCCGGAGCGAACAAGTGTGAGGGAAATACGAGTACATGAATCTTGTGTTGCACACAGTAGTGAAGGAACTCCTTACTGGTGTATGTGTGGTTGCCATCGAGGAAGAGTAAACGCGGCTGTCCGCATGCGCGCTGAGCGCTGAGTGGCTCAAAAATTTCACGAAGCCAATAAAACGTGAGTGCAGTCTTGGTTACGTTATTATCGAAGAACTGAATGTCCCAGCCTTGGGTGAGTGCGCGATCCTTGGGATACCAGGCGTCAGGCCCTTCAAGCTGCGGGTCCTCCTTTGCCCTAACCACCACGCACGGTGGAAGCACATATCCATCACCGCTAATACTCTCAAGCTGGGTAACAGAGTGCCACACGGTGTCGTCGCGTGGTTTCCCGTCCGTGTAGCCGTCGCGGATGCGGTGATAGTTGGGGCCAAGGCTATGTCGCGCCTTATCGAGAATGTACACGTTTTGCGGTGCAAACTCAAACGTATCATCAAACTCGGCCGCGTCAAAAAAATATCGCCGGAGACTCTCATGACTCACGGGGGACACGTTTTTGCGCTCTCTCGGTTTTGCTACTTGCATATCCAAGCCCTTTTTCTTTAAAAACTTTGCAACAAAGTTTTTGCCCACCGCGCCGCCGCTACCGCGCTGTGCCAACACGTCCTGCACCAAATCGCGGAGCGTTTTGCGCGTGAGTGGCCTGCCGATGGCACTCTGCTTAAGCACGCAGTTCTCCACAAAGACTTCCTCCTCCTGAGTCATCCTGTTGAGTCGGCTTCGTATCAGCTTGTTGCGCTTGCCGGTGAGCGCATTTCCGAGTGTGGTGCGCGCCACCTGGTGTGCTTCTGCCGCCTGACGGATGCTGGGGTACACCTGGTTGCGGAAGTCCGCTACCGCGTCCGCGATGCGCTCCTCGTATGACTTGGGTCTCATCGATGGTTTGTGAGCAAGCTTGGAGGAGGATGAGTTTCGTGGTGCGGATCAATTGTTCAAGAGAGTAGGCAACAAGCGGTGAAAGATCAAGTGTGATGAGATAAGGGTCCTGCTTTGCTTAAGGCACCCCCTGATTGTCCACGGTTCAGGTTTGGCCGGTGCCCCAGAATAAGGTGCGACGGTCATGATTCTATATGCAGGAAGTTTTATTTTAGGCCAAATAGACCTAACCTGGCGTAAATATTTGGTCCTGCAAGCTGCATTGCTTAGGGACACTGTCCTCAACTCTTCCCTGCTATTTCACTCAGTCACCTAGGTATCGCGATGGAAATGATATCATGAGCTGTCTGTTTCAGCCAATTAGCTGGAGTTATAGAGTATAGCCCGGAGACTCGTAAAATGCTCCATAAAACTTGCAAGCTAGGCTAAGGGAACTGAGGGGCGTGGGGAAAATCTGGTAGCCTCCTTATAGAACCGATACCATCAATTGCATAGTTAACGGGGATTTATACCGAATATATTACCAGCGACACCCTGAGTGGATCCAAAAATCTTAGACCAGAAGCGTCGCCTTCTTAGAACACTGGTCTGTGAGTGCATGCAAGCGCCACCCCTTTCGGACGTCTTTACCCCTGACAGCTGCGCCTGATGCTGGGTGTATAGAACTTCACCGAAAGTGGCAGGGATCTAGCCCGTTTGGGTTTAATTACGACTATTCGCACATGGTAGTTCCAAAAGCCTTCCACGAGGTTGATTTCCATACTAGTCCATATGGCTGACCAGTTGCGGATGGAATGGTTATAAGCGAATTGTTTATGCTGCAAGATTCGTACTAGGCGAGGGATCGCGTTTTTTTAATTGTTTCGCCGGAATTTAGGGAAGGAGACTAGTGCAGTCTGGTTGTTACGTGGTGGGCGTTTGACAATCGAGGTGTTGGCACGGATGCACAGTAGCATAAGTTGTATACAGGAATCTCAATAAGAGCAAGGGGCGGCCAGATTTGGCACGTTTCTTTTCTTTGCCTCTAGTGTAGTCCTTAGGGCCTGGATTACACCACGATATCATCAACGTATACTCTCAAATTTCTCGCTCGTTGCATTTCCCAGAGTACATTTTGATACACGTTACGCTATTGTCCACGCGCTTGTCTCCTGCGTCTGCTCGTACTCAATAAAAAACAATTACCAGCTACGGGAAAAACAGAAAAGTGACCAGATCTAAATACCCTACGCCTCACTTTTTAAAAATTAACGTCCTCGCTAATAAAGCCTAACACACTCTTTTTACAGCAGACTGTAACAATCATCCCAAACTTCAAACATCCTTTCAAATCTCTACCATGATGGGAAAGCAGCTGACCGGTTTCCAGCACTCGAGGTTCAAGTTCTCCAACTTCTTCACGGACCCGTTCATCCTCACCACTACATCACTCGCGTTCATCGCGTGGGCGATCTCGTTCGGAAGTGCTATAGCGTACGCGAGACATGCGGCGAGTTCCCCGAAATCCATGAACGTCCCGCCGTTCCCAAAGTTCACATGGTGGGGGCTCGTATTTGAGGTCTTGTTGATCTTCATGATCGTAATCTTGTGCTGTATGGACTTGGTGCGCTACTACAAATCTGCGCTCTTGGGCTGCTCCGCAGTCGCTTTTATATACACCACCAACTCCACAAATATCCTAGTCTGGGCGAGCTCCGGGAACTCATCGATAGGCGCATGCAGTGCGGGTAGCATCTTGTTATCAATTGTCAATATTATCTGGATTATGTATTTCGGTGGCGATGACAACTCGCCAACCAACCAATACGTGGATTCCTTCGGTTTGGGCGGTGCCACACGCAACGCAATGAACCGTGGCAGTAGCGGCACCATGGGCATGTACGAACGCAACTCACTGGGCATGTTGATGAACATCCCCATCAGTCAACGCAACGGCAGCGCCGCAAATCTCAGCAGGCAGGGTTATCCGACCGGCACCTTACGTGATAGTATGCGTGGCAGCCAGTACCTCCGTCAGGACTTCCAGGATCACAACTTGCGCAACTCCGCGCTCGGCAGGGGCAACTCCAAGATCTCCGGTGCCAGCGGTGCCGCATACTTGACTTCCAACCAGTTAACAGGCTTGGAAAACTTTAGTGAGCGTGACGAGGAGATGCATGAATACGAGGAGTCCTTTGATGCTGCGCCCTCACCCCACATGGAATCCCACAACCAGTCGCGCTCGACCCACCCGCAGAGCCAGATCGAGTACAAGTATAAGGCGTGCGCGTTGTATTCTTACGATGCCAACCCCGACGATGAGAACGAAATCAGCTTCATCAAGGGTGAAATCTTGCACGTTGACGACATCACTGGTAAGTGGTGGCAGGCCAGACGCAGCAACGGCGAGATCGGAATTTGTCCGAGTAACTATGTTGAATTACTCGATTAGTATTAGTATAAATACAAAATATCGATAAATGTATATTTAAACTATGAAGGAATAAACATGAATGAGAGCGATGTGTATATATATATATGCGATTAATGTTCATAAATATTTGTGTATATATAACTAATTTGAATTTTCTAGCAATATATTTACTCAACAATGCATATATGTATTTGTATAGTACCATTACCAACGTTAATAATCCTTCTATATGGCTCGTTTGGAATAGGTAGCTGTTCGTTTCACCCAGCTAACTATGCGCTCGGAAACCTCCAATATTAATCTTCCCCCCTCTGGACTTTTCGAGTTCTCAATCGTTTCTCCATAACAGCAGATCAACAACAACGAAGCCACTAAGCAGATAAGGATGATCCAAACAGAGTATATCCCAATGAACGATGAAACAATCTTAAAGAACACTGACATGAGAAAGGTTACAAACCAGCTCACACCGGAGCACCAGCTGGAAACAACGATACGATTGTTACGGTTGTGACTCGGAAAGAAACCATGGGCATGGATCGCAAAGGTGGAATTGATGGCAATCAAGAAACCCATGAGCAGATAGGTATACATCTTGGTCAAACAAGGGTTATCTAAATGTTGGTCATACTTGGCGATACCCCCTGCCACTATGATAAATACCACCAGCGTAAGGATACCCCCAAGTGTGACATCCTTACTTCGCTTACTCAGAACGCTGATAATGATCCCTCCAATGTTCCCAATGAGGACCGCAACAGAAAAGATTAAGGAACCAAACTCTTCGTCAATACCAATGCTCCCGAACAAATCCGCATTCCGAAAGCAAAAAATGCGGCACATTATGATGGATGAGAGGACGGTCATTAGGGAGAGGATTCCTAAGTTGTCAATTGTAATAACCGGACTGTAAAGATTTCCCGTGACTAGGTGTACCTGCACCTGGGTTTCCCGAATGATCTCATTGACCACCTGACATCGCTCCTGGAGAGTATATTGTGGATAGAGACACCTGACAGAAAAGTCAAATTGTGGACCAAAGTGGTAGCCATTTTCTCGGTAAACCACAAAGGGGGATTTAGGAATAATTCCCAAGAGCAAGAGAAGCACCACGGGTGTAACACACTTGTACAAGAGACACACTCGAAACATCTCTGCGTTGTAAAACAAATCAGACTCCTCCAATAAGGCAAAGCTTGTGATCTTTCCCAAGATCACTCCTATGGTTCCACTGGCCGCCGTGGTGCAAACACAGAACTTACGAAAGCGAACCGGAGAGATATCATGAATGTAAAACGTCGTGGTTTTATTCATAAGCCCGGCTGCAAACCCTTGGCCCATCTGACACACACAGTACAAGGTGGTTCCGTAGGTAGAGGATAAGAACTCCAACCCAACCAGGAGAAGAAACAATACCAACGAAGCGAGAATAATCCAACGGTGGCAAAAGTACAAGTTAAGGATGGCAAACACACTACCAAAGGAATGACCTAACTGTAGCAACGACAAGAACAATTGAAAGTCGCCTAACTTGCCAATCTCGATCTTGTAGTCGGTAATGTTCTCCATATGACCCAAATAATTTGATTGGAGCCCCAAGGTGAAGTATCCGGTGAAGACCGCCAAAGAGAGAGTTAGGCAATAGAAGTGAATGATTCCTAACTTCCACCAAGCTTCTAGTGACAATGTCGCCAAGGAATATTCAGATTTTTCCCTGGGTGGCCGGTCCAGTTTTAGCTGCTTTTTGACCGACGGTAACGATAATTCCAGTAATACCGGACATTTCTCTCCTGAGGGTGTAACGGTAAGACCAACAATTGGTACAAGGTGAGAAACTGATCCACCCTGTTCACAACCATCAGAGTAGCGCAAATCTTCCTTCATAACCACGATTGAATCATTATTTATCTCCTTAAGATTTTGAGACGGCGTCGAGATGGTGAATTTTTCGGTCAAAATGTCTTCAGTAAAACCTCTTTCATGTAATCGGTACTTAAACAACGTAGCTTCGGCAAAATATTATTGCAGTGTTTCGATATGGTCTTTCGTAATGGCGTTTCATTGAGGGAAAACCCCTGGCAGACCTATTAAATCCGGAGAAGAGTCAAGCCTTAGTTTTTGTGTCGAATAGAAACCATGCAGCAGCGGCTCTCCCTCTACAAGCGCACCAAAGCCTCCGATGCTAATTGTCAGAAACAAAACGTTTAGACAGAAATAGCATTAACAGGGTTATTAACATCTTTTATAATAAATTACGCGCACATTTGCTTAAATACTCTCCCTATGGATTATCCTTTGGCGCCCAAGAAGATGGTGGCACTCAAACAAACAATCATTACAATGAACCCCCAGATGGCCAACGCAAAGCCACCATACTTTTGGAGTTTTTCCTTTTTTGTCAATGGCTCGTTATTGGCGATCTTATCGGCTCCGATCATTTTGTAGCCAAAAATACCAGGTAAAATGAAGGAAATCGAGGTAGAGCCCGTAGACCCCACGAACGCAAGAACGTGCTCTAAAGACCTCACAGAAATCGCAACGAGATAGCTGATAAGCAACACAAATGAGGTGATGATCAAGTGGTTTCTCTTAGTAAGAGCCACAATTACCTGTTCATTTGCTGTACTACTCTGATCATCCCCGCTACCCACTAATCTCTGTTCCTCGGCGGCAGCTACCTTGGACGTTTCGTCTTCGCCTCCCAACAGGATATCAAAGTAGTGCAAAATATTGTTGACGGAGGCGCGACATGGATGGCATTGCAATGGGTAAGACAATACCACCAAACACGCAATGGCGACGCGGCCAAAAGTGGAGGAAAAAGATTCAGGGTAGGATACAATGATGTTCCCACCCACAAGGTCACCAAAGGTCAAGTACCCAGAGACACCCACAATCACGTAGAGCGTCATAGCAATTCCAATGGCGTAGCTAATAACGCGGTTCATGTTTCGAGACGACTTATCTTCTAACTCGTTGACCAACGAGAACATGTTCTGGTGGCAGGTGTAGGCGAATACAAAGATCGGAAACGATCCGAGTGCGGAAGATACAGAGTGTGGAACAAAGTAGTTTACCGGACCCTTTTCCACAATGTCCTTCTTGAAAAAGTGCACCACTACCAAAACAGCAAGGTACGCCACCGACGAAAGCGCAACCATAGACGCGTATCGCAAAGAGTCCAACCGCTTTAGGAAGGACAACGGAACCACAATGACCATAAAAAGAGAGATCCAGAAATTTCTTTCCAACAAGATCCCGTGCCCTTCCAAGTACGTGTCGTCAATCAAGGACTTGGCGATTTTGGGCATTAAGTCCCCCACAACAACCAAGTAGGAGATACCGACCCCTAAGCACTTTACGGCAATCGCCAAATCGAAAATAACGCTAAGGGAGGGGTAGGTGAGCTGCGACAAGGCGAAAAACGACGCGTGCCCCACTGGAACGTAGCGCGTGCATTTCGTCTGGAGGTAGAGCCCGAAAGAGGACGAGGCCCCACTTAAGATGACGACAAAGATCCCAAGCAAGACACCATTAGATTTGATACCATACGGCATCGCAAGCATCCCCGCACCTAAGCTTGTTAGTATATTTCACAGCGTGTGTAGCGTTCATGCTCACATACCGATAATGGTGTTCAAGAGGTTGATGCTTGCCGATCCCGCGGTGGCTTTTCCTGTGCTTTGTGCCATTATAATGTTATGATATTATTATGCTAAAACAAGGCCATATAGGGGAGGATGTGGAGCTATAGAGCGATGGTAGGTCAACACAAATCTGTGGTTCATGTTAGATTTTAGGTCATGCGGGAATCTATATTCCTAGTCTGTGGAGTCGAGCCGCGAAAAGGAGCGGCAACAATAGCCATGCACGTGATATTAGGCAAGGACACCGGCACTAGAATTTCATTGCTTAATTGAACCAAAGATTTACAATAACATAGACGTTGTAGTATTATAATGACAATTAATAAAGAAAATAGCCTTATAGTTTTTTGGTGGCACATTAGTAACTGAAGCGAAGCCTTTCAGGTGGTCTTTATGATTAGCAACTATAAAATAAAGAATCTACACACTCCGGTAAACATTAGACCTTCATCCCGTTCTTTCAGTACCCACATTATCACCGAAGACGCGAAGGTTTTCAAGCATACATATTCACACCGGAAGAAAAAGTACGTAATATTTTAAAAAAAGGGTAAGAAAGAAAGTATAAACGATATAAATTGGGATAGCACAGGAAGTTGGTAAAAGGGGAAGGTGGGGGCGAGTATCCTGATGGCTGTAGGCAAGACATGTCCTCGCAATGAGTAGCATCCATGAGATACAAGCACGGCCAAGCTTAGAAACAGCATATCAGAAAAATAGTACACGTATATTAAACAAGGGTGTAAGCCAAGAAGAGAGCCATCAAAACCAAAGCAACGATACCGATCCACAAAGCACCAGCTGGTGGGGCATCCTTGGTGGCAACAGCGCCACCAGCAACCTTTGGAGCAGTAGCCTCGATCTTGTTGGACTCCAACTTTTCGTTCAACTCGGCAATCTTGACATTGGATTCGTCCAAGTCCTTCTTGTGAGAAGCGGCAGTGGCGGTAAGGGTAGAGTTGCCAGCCTTTTCGGAGTTGAAAGCAGTGGAAGCACCCGCGACAGCGGCACCGACAGCGGCGGTGACACCGGCAGCGGAGGTGGCAGCAACCTCGGCCGTGGAAGAGCCACTGACGTACTCAACTCTGATCTTTTTGGACTTGGACTGTGACTTGAACTCGCCTTCCAACTGGGTCCACATGGCGGACACGGAGTTGGCATCGTCAAGCTGGTATGGACATGGCAAGGTCACAACCAAGAACTTGTCGCGACAGGCAAAATCGGCGGCTGGCTCTTCTTCTAACCCCTGCAAGATGATGGAAACATCCAATTGCTCACCAGGGGCAACCACAGAAGCGTTTGGTCTGACACAGTACAATCTTGGCGCGGTGGTCTTGACCTTGAACGCGAGAACGGTATCGGTGTTGTTCTTCAAAACAATGTGTTCAGTGGAAGGCTTAACGAAAGGACCTGGTGGTGTTAGTAAAATGCTGCGATGCTTATACGGGCGTCTTGGCACCGAATCATAGATATGTGAAACAGGCACAAATAGTTCAATCATGGCAAACGGTGTTCTCTTCCGTGTTGTGTGAACGTTGCGTTGAGTTTACATCCAGCGGGATGGATGTGTCCGTTTACATAACAAAGATGTCGCGTGGCCCATTTGTAGCACATACCTTTGAATTGTAAAGTATCTGGGGAGATTTCCATGTTGATAGTAGATATATATGAAATTTGGGGGGAGGCGTCCTTAAAATTCCTGATAGTATTAAACGTTCACAGTTAAGCGGAGGCAATTTGATATCAGCGGCAGTCTCATACTCAGAATCTCTTTTTTTTTTTTCGAGAACGAATTTGGTGCCAGTTCGAATCTGTGAGATTTTTTTTGTAGTTTTCGAAATTTCTCCTTTAGGGATTATGCGAAATATTTATTGGAGCATACTTCCCTGAGTGCTTACAAATCCGCTGTTTCGCGGAAATTAGAGAGGGGATGTGGCGTTCGAGGATACGAACGCGTGGCAAAGGGCACACGAGGCGCTAGTTTCAGGCTGGCCGACTTGCGCGACGTTGGCGAAAATCGTGCAGCAAGCGTGGTCCCACCGACGACTAAGTAAACTAGTGGAGAAATTTGCCCAGCAGACACCGTGAGAGGTACCGCGAAAGAGATTAGCTATCGATTTTCGGATAATATTATGGAGACTTTGATGGCTAAATTTGTTTACAATCGTACTTTTTGATACTGTTTGTCCGCCCCTGCGTTTATACATGTAAGGGCCTGAGGCGATGAGCTATTATACGACAACGCTGGATTGGTAAGCCTCCATAGGGGGACTTGATAGAAATAAATATTAAATAACTTAGTATCAAGTTAGATGTACTTTTAAAACTATGAAAGCGTCGATAGAAAAATGAATCCAGCTAAGGGTGAAATATGATACAGATAGCAAGCTTGTTCTCACGGCTGAGCTGTTGACTGCTTTTTGACCGTTCAAGCCTAACTGGATGCCATAACAGCCATAGCCAGGAGAAGCTCATTTCCTGGAGTTTTCACTTTGAGTGAGATATTCCTAGACCGGTAAATACCGCCTACTCTAATATAAACCATGCCTCATTTCAAGGGCTTCCGCACGACAAGCGGTTGGCAATATTTTCATTATAACTCCTAAAGTTTCAATACACGGTATCGTATTCACCCCTTGCCTCTCTTCTCACCCTCACATTACTTCAATTCGTAGATAACATTAAGTGAGCGATGTAATAAGAAAACACGTCTAGTAGTCGTCACCACGAGAAACAACTTCCTTTCTGGTAGGGTGGAGCAAGATGGTGTGCTCGTACTGGGCGGTGTAGCAGCCGGCGGTGTCGACCAATGGTGGGTAGTCCTGGACAATACCGGCTTTGCATAACTGGTTCAATGCTAACAAGTACTTTTCTTCGCCTAATCTGTCCAAGTAACGGCGGCACCACGGTAAAGTGCCGAAGTTGGTGTTGATGGTATCCATCAACTGCTTCGCTTTGGTCGTCTTTAGGTCTGCTGGGTTGACCTGGACGTCCACATTCTTCGCGTAGTGCGACGACTCACCGGCGGTGATTACGTAGCCTCTGCCGGTACTGCCGAAGGTTTCGATGGCGAAGGTTTCGCCTTCTTCCATCTTTGTTTCGTCGCCGTTCTTTACAATAGGAACCGACTTGCCACCGTGAATCTGGTACTGATTGATGTTGTGCCCGTTCAAGTTTCTGATGCATTTGACTGGGTAAGTCTTGCCGTCCAACTCCACTTCATAGGACTCCATGACTTCCTCCACACGCTCACCGATGTCCGTCAATCTAACGTCAATACCCGCCTCATTGATACCGGTGTTGGTGGCGTCCTTCACGGCCTCCAACAACTTGTCGTACCTCTCATCAAAGGTCATGGTGAAGGCACAGTCGACGATGTGCCCGTTCACGTGGACACCGATGTCAACCTTCATCACATCCTCGTACGACAACACGGTCTTGTCACCAGCGTTTGGGGTGTAGTGGGCGGCGCAGTGGTTCAACGACACACCGGTTGGGAATCCCATCCCGCCCTTCAACCCGTCGACTCCGGAATAGGTTCTGACGGCATTTTCGATGGTTTCTGCAACGTCGATCATGGTCATACCCGGCTTGATGATATCCTTGGATCTCTTTCTCACTCTTCTATGGATCTCTGCCGCCTTTCTGAATTCGTTCCAGGTGTTGTGGTTCTGTCTGTCTAAGTATCTCTTCTCCTCGTCGGTGGTACGGTAGTTGTTTTCGTCTTTGTACTCTATCCACTCACCTTCCGGATAGATTCCCTCTGGATAGTACGAGTCAATCACAGTGATTCCCTTCTTCTTGCTCTTCTTCTTCTTCTTTTTTTTCTTATCCGCAGCATCCGTGATCTCTTCGCCTTCGCCGCCACTCACCATCTTAGCATCCTCTGGCGCTTGCTTGGCTAGCACTTCGGCAATCTCGGCAATCTCCGCTACCGGTGGAACAATATCAGTGGTCATTTTCTTGTGTGGGTATAAGTACAACAAAAAAAACTACCTAGGTGTCAGCGTACAATTATGTCCTCAGTTGGTCCCTTGTAGTATAAATATTTTTGCAGCGTGCACGCACCAGCGATGCATTTTTTTTCATGCAACTGGGTGTCGAGATGGACGCTTAAAGATTAGGAAAAACAGCTCCATTACTAGCCCTCCAGCTCTCTCACCGTGCCTTATACGATGTTCCGCCAACTTTTAGCGCCAGCAAAGACTGGTTTGCGTTTCTTCTCCAATGAAATCGATCAGAAGTTGATTGACTCCTTGCAAAAGGCTTCTCCCTCCAGCTCTGGCTCCACATTCAAATCCTCCGACTTGGACCTCTCGCTCTTCGGAAAACAGCCACAGAAGGCGTTCAACATCAGACAAAATGACTTAATGATCGCCTCGCCGAAGGCCGTTGCTCAGAATATGAAACTCTCGGGCCCAACTGCCGGTAGGACCGTTGAAGTGTCCAACGGCAACCTCCATGCCGCGTTGATGTCTCTTAACCGTCTCTGCAACAACAACAATATTAGGGGCCAGTCCATGGACCAGAGATTCCATATCAGACCGACTAAATACAAGCAGGAGAGAAAGCTTGTCGCCAAGAAGAAGTCCTTCAATAAGGGGATTACCAGATTGATGAAGATGGTCCACGAGGCCAAGAGAAGAGGCTACTAAGCATTACCCATGTATATATAATTCGTTACGCTTTTAAGTCGATTGTAAATAGTGAAAGAATGCAGGCCCAGTGTGAGCTAACGCCCAAGTCACTGCAAAGTATGGCCTAGCCAATACGGCTCAATCTAGAAGTATCATTGCTTCGCACAAACACTGTGGTTGGATCTATAAGATCGCGTATTGCTAGACACTGCCAGGATTTAATTTTCAGAACACTGTGCTATCATCTAAGAACAGTGTTGAAGTAATTCTAACCCCCTGTATAATCTGCGGCACTTCGACTTCAGGATACGATGCTGTGCCGTAATCCATATAAGGTCGGATCTTAATGTCTATGGTATGGTCCCTTGCCATATAGAGTGACCCTAGTATGACTTAATCCACAAAAATATCGGTCATATTGCCTACTCCGTATCCCTAGCTTGAAGCCTTAATTCCGTTTAACCTTGAATCGTAAGTACTGGATGTCCTTATACGCAATCAGCTTGCGACAGAGTGGACACGCCCCTCTGTCAGCACGCCCTTGGCTGGAATTGTCCAATGATTGAAACAAACAGTCAGCACAGAACAAGTGTCCACATGACGAGATAACAGCCTGGTCAAACGAATCAAAGCAAATGGGGCATACTGACTCATTGAACCTTTTATCCGTGGAGTTGCGGTTCGTGGCGTTTTCCGATAGATATGTGTTTGTTTCGTTGATGATTTCAATGTCCGATGAGTGCTCCGAGTCTATTTCAACCTCATCAGATGACACTGATAGTACATTATCAACTCTTGAAGAGGTCGCTAACGGTACCAGCTCCCCTCCGGCCGGGACCAACACGACTATTTCGTCATCCTCGCTGTCAGACACGTGAACAATCAAGGCATCTGAGTCTATTCGGACCCGGGAGCGTTTACGGGGATTGCCAACTGGGGACAGAGACCCCGTTTCTGATCCATGAGCGCTAGAAGCACCCAGAATACGATCTATCGTATCCATACTGGATAGCGATGACGAGGAGTTGTCGCGATGAGCATATGAGGGGCTGGATGACTCATTTACCGGGAATCTGTTATGAGTTGATGCTGGAGGTTCATCTGCTATGAACGGAGCAGAAGGAACTTCGCTGGTTGTTTCAGGTATGAAAAGCGCATTTGAGGGCTCTGGTGTCTGAACTGGTGTATAGAAGGATGCATCGGGCGTAAATTCGGTTGACGCTGTCATCGGTAGTGGTGGAATAAGTATGGGTAGATGGTTTTGCGTGCCTCCTTGAACCTGGTACATTAGTGTGTTGCTGAATATACGACCGTTTCGCTACCTATACCCCGGAAATACGATGGCGTTGATACATCGGAAATGCCATGGTTGCGAACACTGATGTAGCCTAAGAGCCGCAATGCACGTGAGGGCTGCACGGTATGGATATTTATTCCGGAAGGGTTTCCGTCCATTTCATTCTTCAATATCAATAGTATAATTACTGACTTGTCCTATCATCTAAACACAAATAATCAGAGATCGAGGAGGCTACATTTTCGGGCCTACTATACTTATACTTAATCTAGACTCATAGTTTCGTACTCTAAAGGAAAAGAAGCACATGCGTAGTTAAACCAGAGGACGCAAAGGACTAGAGAAGATAAACTGAGCTTGACCAGACCATTATAATTATACTCACAAATAATGCCTATAGAATTCTTAAGGGGCCTTGTCAAAGGCTCCGTTAAGAAACCCCGGTCTGTCCTATCGGCCGATTGTAACCGGTGGCTGACGCCATCGTGGATGTGGCAGCTTCGCCACATGCTTGCCGCATACTTGCAGCTTCAATCACGTGAGTTTTCATCATGTACATCGAAATGTTGCACTCTTCTCCATTTATAACTTTCATGAAATAAACTCAAATGGTTTGCTTGTCTCGTTTGACCTCCTTTCCGCCTGTTTCTCTCTTATTTCCTTTTATCCCTGCAAAATGTCAGATACCCTAGTGGACACGAGTATCTCCCGAAAGGCGAAGGACGTCACCGCTGGTTTTGTGGGAGGTGCCGTCCAGGTGCTTATTGGTCAGCCCTTCGATCTCATCAAGGTCAGATTACAAACGGGCCAGTTCAGGTCTCCAATTGAAGCCTTCCAGTCCACCTTGAAGAACGAGGGTGCTCGGGCTTTTTATAAGGGCACCTTGGCTCCGTTATTCGGGGTGGGTGCCTGTGTGTCAGTGCAATTCTACGGGTTTCACGAGGCGAAGCGCCAGTTATTGAAGTACTCTAACTCTCAGACCTTGACCATGGGCCAGGTTTACCTTGCGGGTGCATTTTCTGGGTTTGTCAATACCCCAATCACCTCCCCAGTAGAGCAATTAAGAATCATTTCGCAGACGCAGAAGACTACCCCAGTGTTGGGTCCAAAGCAGCTCTTACGCAACATTTACACAGAACACGGTTTGGTCCGAGGGGTCTTCCGAGGCTTCAATATTACATTGGTAAGAGAGTGCCAGGCCTACGGTACTTGGTTTCTCACCTACGAATACCTCATGCAAAACGCCATCAAGTCCCGTAATATTACCCGTGACCAAATTTCAACACCAGAATTGATGGCATACGGTGCCCTTGCTGGCGAAATGTTGTGGTTATCGTCGTACCCATTGGATGTCATCAAGAGCAGAATCCAAAGCGATGGGTTCGGTGCTGCCAAGAGTAAGTACAATGGAAAGTGGAACTTGGTTATCAAGGACATCATGCGTGTCGATGGGATCAGAGGGTTCTGGAGGGGCATTGGCCCTGCCTTAGTGAGAGCGATTCCTTGTAGTGCTGGTACGTTTGCTACCGTGGAATTGACTCTTAGATTGTTGGGTTAGAAATGGAATGTTCGGTCTAGCAATTAAGCATTGACTTGTAATAAACCATATAATGATGGAGCATCAAAAAGAGATGATATTTGTACAACTCTCCAATGCTGTAGGTGGCATACCTATCTAACATCGCATTTGAGTATAGTTTGTCATCCAGATGGTCTTTTTAGGATATTGCTTAGCTCTAATTATCTGCCTCCCAAACGATGCCATAAAACACGATTAAAAGTGCGTAAGTGGTTCGCGTGATGTAACACACAGTACCTAAAAGTTATTTGGGTATCTATATCGGTTCGTCTCTTTGGGCCCAGCAGTCCCCACGCGGGTCACCTAAGAAGTGCAAGTACCTCTAAATTTCAAACCTTTACAATTCCCCGACACGGAGGCTTGCGTCAATGAGACAAGCAAATCTGTAAAGGCAGCAACACACCACCGTCCGGAATCCAATACCGAGAGTATTGACGTATTTATGCAGCCCACCTCTTCGCAATCAACTGGAGCGTAATGGGCCGAACACGGATATCTTCAGCATGTTCGTTGTACATCCTTGTACCCAATTATCTCCTCTTTGGGAAATATTCTGCGTGTTTTTCGTGCAGCGCGCCTGCACTAATCAGTCCACATTGGGCAGTAACTAAAGCTCTAATCTCAATGTGGCTAGCATGCCATGCTCGTGAGACGATGAACACGGGGACAATAGAGTGCTAAACAACGTTCCGTTGGAATCAATTTCCAGAAATTATGGATAATATTACTCTGAGACCTCATAATTTACCGGGGGTGACCAGATGACAGATTAGGCGAGTAAACTTCCCAGTCTCTGGCCAGGGGCCTGGAGCAGTTTTTTTTCCCTACGTGGGCCGCACCTGACGCTCTACGAAGATCGTAAATTTCACGCGCGCATGGCAAATTTAGCATTGCAAATCACAGCGCGTAGCATTTGCGTTTTTATATTTACACAAGACCAAAACTATTTGAGACGTACCACATCCCCTTTCAAAATTCTGCGCATCTTATTTAACCGCCGGCTTCCTGATTTGTAATCTGAACCTACCCATCCAAACCACTACTGCTAGAATCGTCGCATCAATCCGAATATAAGATCTCGGCATACATATAGAACCCAAAGAGATATCTGTCCTTTTTGCTACACAGATCCCTGCCCAGTTAAATTTCCGAACCGAAAGCCCTAGAGCTCAATAGACTAGAATTCGCTCTCACTTTCACTGATTAGCTGTCCCCAGAGCCGAAACCCCCTCCACTAGCATCACAAAGTACTATAATAGAGAGTCAATAGCAGGTTCTCTTACGCGTACCAAGCAAACGTATACCCAACTAATCCCAATGCAACAAGTCCAGGTCATCCACTCATCGCCAAGCAATACTCACATAATCCCACCTATGCCCTCTAACTTGGTCGGTGAGGACATTATTGCAGAACGCGTGTTGCAGCGTGCGGAAATCTCGCGCATTACGCGTCAGTTGAAGTCACGGTTGGCCAAAGCTGGGATCAAAGCCAAGGTGGAGAACTCGCAGCTTTTCAGCAGTTCTCCCAACAAGCACAATGCCCAGTTCTCCTCTGAGGCCAATTTTTCACCGCTCAAGGCCAGCGGGGAGTTTTCCCCGCTAAAGGATGCCCATTTCTCCGGAAGTGCCCAATTCTCGCCATTAAAGGCCCCAACCTTCTCTAGTATGAACCACTTGCCAAGCTCCGCAACAACTGAGGTCGAAGAGCGATTCCCGTCGAAACGCACACTCGACTCGGATGCGACTGACACCGACACGGAATGTTCACCCATGAAGAAACACACGTCAAACCCCACCCTATCTAATATCCCCTCATCGCCTATTTACCAGCAGTACCAGCAGCAGTCAGAAAGAGAGCACAACATGACAACTGACCCGCCGCAGACCCCGCCATCGACTTACAGCTCCTTGCACAAGTCATCCTCTGTGACATTGGCGCTGGCGCAATCCACCATATCGCACGTATCGCATCTCAACAACCTTTCGCCCTTGTCCAAAGTCAACAAGCCACTCACATCCTCACCTGGCCTCTCCACACCTAAGACATCGCGCAATCGCATGAGCTTGCTTACACCCAAGGGACGTAGTAACGACGAGGAGGGGGCAGATTTGTTAATGTTCTTGGCGACCTCACCGTCTCCTGCCACATACGGAAAGAACAGTTCCATGTTGGGTGCTCTTCCATCGCTTCCAAAGCTCCAGTTTCCGAATTCGCTAGACACAAAGTCGCCGATCGCACTTCCTAGTTTCAACATCACAGCCTCCGCCAGCGGCGCAGCGACCGTCTCATCTACGCCGAACAAAGAGAGCAGACCAAAGTCTGCGTTTCTCGCCCCGGCTACGCCTAAGCGCTCAAACAATCTCTTATCGGGGGTGAATAAAACGCCAATTACGTCCCGTTTTGCCGGCACCGGTATCACTAATGCCGATCTTTTAAAGACCCCTACAACCACCAGAGCCACACCCGTGGGCTTCAGTATGAGCGACTATGTCAACTTTTTGACCCCTTCGCCCATCTCGCGCGCCATGTCCGGTCGCACGCCGCACCAGGCCTCGAACGACTTGAGCTCCTTCCACTTGAGCGGCGGTCCTGCGCTTGGCGCCAGCAATCTCGGCGCTGGTGCTGCTGGCCGTATCGTCAACTTTGATAAATTGTCCTTTGGGGGAAGCAACGTCGAGAAGTAGGCTTATGGTTTCTTTAGCGTTGGTACTTATTCCTTTCCATCTATTTATCCTTTTTCTTTTTTTTCCTTTTTCATTCTACATCATTCTTTTCTCTTTGTCAGCTCCTTCTGTTTATTTTTCGGTTCTACGGTTTCTATCCTACACTCTTCTGGTACTTATCTCATTAATATACCACTCCGGTAAATCTGAATGTAAAAGAGTCGGTGGCAGTCAAATTGATTACTGGTCAACTAGACAACGTTATAGCTTACCTTCTTTCACGCACAACTAGTTGTTTCCCCTCTAATACCATATACGTGATCACTCTGGAGGTGGCTCTCCATGGGATAAACGTACTACATCGTTTCTGTCCAGAGGTGCTTTTATTAACGACGAGGATCGCGAATCCACAAAGAGTGGAAGATGATTTATAGAGCCTCGTGGTCTTTCAATTGACGATCGGTAACGTGTATCAAACGTTCTATCTAGCTGTACTCTCAGCAATATCTTGCGAGCAATCAGCTCCACCCGACATCAACTTATCAATAATGTAACCTTTTTAACCCTTTTCCTTTAATATCTCTCAAGGGCCCCTCATATGTCCAATTTCATGGCTTCTAACGCCAGTAATACACTATAGACCTTCTTTCGATCCATAGAGGACACGAGCACCGATACGCTATCGTGCAAGCTCGTGAATCCTGAATTACTCCCCTGCGGAACAGAAACATAAACCGATAACCAATTGCCTGTAAGCTCCACGGTACCAGCAAGGAGGAAATCCAAGCAATTAACCTGGTCACCGAGCAATTTTCCAATCTTCCAGAGTGGGACATTCTTCACGGTCCGAGAGTTTTTAGTAAGTTTTGCAAGAAGTATATCAATCTCTGTCAACGCATCTAGAGCCGATAATACCTGTGTATCGCATGCTGTAACGTAAAAGTTCTTCAGCGAGGGAGGTCCTTGGTGGAAAGTGAGGTGTGGCGAATTTAAGAGTAACTCATTAAGTGGAAAGGCGTAGTTCCGAGGGATTTGAATCGTTTCACACTTGGATGATGCACATAAGAGTGAATGGACTCGATCATAGGCGGATTGGAGCTTATCCAGGTTTGAGCTATATATCCATAGGGTACAGTTTCCAGAGCTGGACCATTCGAAATGAAAGTCGGGGGACACCAGAGATTCAATTACACCACAGGTTTTTTCATTCGGGGGCTTTAAACTGTTAGTATGAATTTTATCCGATAGGAAACCTGGGATACTGATCGATATAACCTGTTCTATACCATTGGACAAGACGTCTTGAAGTCTGGATTTTGCTTTGGCCACTTCCAGCTCTGATTGACCATAGATGAACAAGGCACCACCGGATGTTTTTGAAATCCAGGTGGATGTCAGTTTCTCAATGGGTCCCACTAGAAATTGGATCACGCCTATAGGCCATCCTCTCACCAAACCAGGTAGGGTTACCCTTTCCTGTATCCCTCCAGACACGCGTTCTACCACGGAAGCAGCAAAAGCATCTACCACTTCCTTCTTTGTACCGAACAAGGTAAAACGTGTCCACTTACCAGTTTTGGCGTTTCCTGGAGCGGATTGTGTGAAATTCTGGGCGCTGTATAGGAAAATACCACTCGTATTCTCAATAAGCCGAGTAAGTCGCGAAGCAAGCGGAGAGGGAACAATGAAACTCCGAAATGTCTGCTGAAAGCTCTGGATAGATTCTTCTATCGCGTAAACTGCTTTTAAAACCCTCTCTTGCAGTTTACTTTGCTTCCGGGACATGTCAGTAAACTGCAAAGCGTAGCCGTTCGGTAGCCTTGTACTGGATATCATTGTAGCCGTAGCTCTTTCTAGGCCTCTTAAAAAACTTCCATTAGGACTAGTTATTGCAGCAAAGCAAGGGCTGTCAACTAGAAGCGTTTTTCTCCTGTGCTTCTTGTTTGACACGGCAAGGGGGAGTTGGAACCCTTTGGGAATCAAAGACTTTGTCTGGATGCACCTTGTGATATGGAAGTCGGGCACGTTCTTGGGTAAGGTACTAAAAGTGTGTCGCGTTCTAAAATACCAGCTCATTGAGCCCTCACATGTTTAATTCTTGGGCGGATGGTGTGAAAAGGTATTTGTATAATGGATTGACCTGCTCATGCGCTCATCGATATGCATCTAGCGACAACCGGATAGTCGTGCATGGAACAGATATGGTAAAATTCTAGTCATATGAATGTTAATATTGTGAGTTAGTTTAGGCTAATTCACGAAGCTATTCGTCTCTTGGAAAATAAAAATAAAATGCATTGAAAGTAAATGTACCAGAAGTTGCCAGCTTATCAATCTGTCTTCAAGGCTTGAAGTATACCATTTACAAGAGTTACTCCGACTTTTGTCACATAATACCACCATGTCTCACAAACCTCAGCCGCACATATTTGAACATAATTTGCAGGATCTCATCTCAGCGCTTGGAGCCATCCGTGTTCACCAATGGTTCCATTACTGTAGATCATAAACTATAGCCTCGGCCCTTATATACGACGATATTTGTATGAGCCACGCAAAAATGGCTCTCTACGCGGTGAGGAAGGGTCGTGTGCCCGGTATCTACAAAACTTGGGACGAGTGCAAGCACCAGATCTTCCAGTTCCCCGGCGCCCAGTACAAGAAGTTCAATACCAAGGCCGAATGTGAGGGCTTCATTGAAGGTGGTAGTAACATAATACCAAAATTTACCCCAAAACAAGTCCAGGAAAGCTGCAGTAGCACCCCGTTCGATGATGGTTCCAACCACCCACCGACTTCTGGTAACAACTTCCACCAGTCTATCAGCAAGCCAAGCATTCCTTTACCTCCCAGTCTGAGAAAGCCACAGATCAGCTCCAGATTAGACTCTGTCATACAAGAATTACAGACCAAAAACTGTACCCACCCCCCATCTCCAGTGCTCAAAATCTGGACGGATGGGGCCTCCCGCGGGAACGGTAAGGTTGGATCCCTGGCCGGGTACGGAGTCTTTTACTCGCCTCAAGACCCACGTAATGCCGCCGTGCCTTTATTAGAAGGTAATCAGACTAACCAGAGAGCAGAGCTTTCAGCAGCGAGACATGCCATCACGGATATTTACAATGAGTTGATGCGAAACGGAAAACTTACCACAAAGTACATCATCGTCACCGACTCCCAGTACACGAAAAATTGCTTTAACGAGTGGGTCTACGGCTGGATGCGAAACAAATGGATGTCCTCCTCTGGTAGCCCGGTGATGAACCGTGATCTTATCGAGCCGATGGTTCCGTTGTTGGCCATCGTCAAGCAGGAGTACCAGACCAACGGGTGGGGTCCGTTCCTGATCGAACACGTTAGGGGCCACAAGGGTATCTACGGAAACGAAATGGCGGACCAGTTGGCCAACATTGCCGTTGACCGGAAGAAACAAGGTGTCATCCGAGCGAAGGTGATGCAAAGCCGAAGTGAGGTGTAGCGGTTATATTCTAAAGCGCTTCACAGATGAATTGTGTAGTATATCTAATCCGAAATCGATGCTAAGAAATACGGTAATGTGATTCAGCGCGATAATATCAAAAAGATAGTGACTCAAGGCATCGGATATGGTAAGGTTATCCATGCTACTATTCTTAATGCAGTGTTTCCCCACTGATAAATTTAAATCTTGACTTGCTCGAGATCACCATAGACCACAAGCCAACCCTCACAACTAAATCTCCAGGGACTGTGATTATTCGCATAATAGGTTAAAAAAACTGTTCCATAGTGGCAAATATCGACGTTCCTGGTATATATGAGATCTTCCAGGTATGTATGAGATCTTCCAGGTATATATGAGATCTTCCAGGTATATATGAGATCTTCCAGTATTGTATACGCAATGGGAACGTCATGCCTCCGAGTAGCACACTCCATAGCTTCCTATCTACTCCAGCTTTGTCCAACTTTTAACCACAGAAATAGAGCACCGCATCTCAAAAGCCATACCATATAATGCTCAGTAACGATATACATAAGAGGTTTATTTAAACGTATAAACTAAAAGACAAGACAAGAAACACCTAAACCATTCCGTAAAAATGCTTGTGGCTTGGCCACTATAAATAATAACAATAATAAAAAACGCTATAGCGCACAAAACTCCTCAGTACAGATACTGCTCCTGTGGGTCAAGAATACGAGGAACCTTCGTCGACGCTTTCTTGTCATAACCGGTTGGAGACGACACAGGGGTCAACCCGAGGGACGATTGATCCGCTGTGGTGGCCATGGTCGCGGCCGTAGCAGTGCTACGGTGAAAACTGGATTCTGTCTGTAACGTGTTGCGGTACGAGTGGTCAAGGTCCGCTTCAGAGTGATCACTGTTGAACTGCGTATCCTGGAACTGGCTTACTTGGGAATGAGACTGGAATGACTTATCCACCTCGGTCGAAAGCAAGTTGTCTCTATCGTTCACCTCACGGGAGAAGTCCCTTGCCTGAAAGTGCGGTTCTCTTGGCGCGTTGCTGACCAACGTATCTGGATACGGCTGTTGACTGCCTCTAACAGGGTTTGGATATAACTCTTGCTGGGAGTGATGAGCATGGTAATACTGCTGGTACTCATCGTTATGTGAGTCTGTCAATGGCACAGCGATCACCCCATCATCTTTACGGTGATAATCACCCCTTAATGATTCACTGGGGGGCAACGAATTCCGGTTGGGTAAGTGTGGCTGAGCCCCAGTGGAAACGTACTGCAACGGAGTGTCGCTCAAGTTCATGTACTCAAGTTTGGAGTTCATTGAGTCCGATCTAATGGTGCCACTAGCACTGGAAGTTCCTTCCCTAATGGTAGGAGCGGTAAGTCTGTTAGTTACTGTGTTAGGGGGGACGGGGGCGACGCTGCCATCAGGACGCTGTTCAGAGGCACCACGGTCCTTCATCAACTGGGACCGGGCCACTGGGTTGGGCAAGCTGGTCAACTGCTTCAAATCGTTGTACCATGCGATCATGGTGTCATACGAGTCGACTCTGAAGACCCAGTTGTGGCCTCTATGGATTATCCCATTTTGCTTAGCATGCAATACAAACTTGAACGTGCCACCAGAACTGGAAGCAGAGGAGTGTTCAGCCACGCTGCAGTCGTATAACGATAACGACATGATCGGAATGGGGTTCTTCTTACGGTCTGGCGACTTGAATTCGTGGATGTAGTTCGACGTCAACACGTACCAACCGCGAGAGTACGACTTGAGGAACTTAGAGCGTCTTTCCAAGTATGAGGACCTGACTTCGAGGTTCAACGGGTTGTGCATGTTGTTGTAGGCGATCTGCGCAAACGCTCTGGAGGGCAAATTTGGGTCAATGAAGTTGCTGTCCTTCGCGACGAAAGCATCCCATTCGAACTGTGGTTCCTTGGTCAATAACCCTGAATCAAGCTTGGTGATGAGAATATCGAATACGGCCTGGGCTTCCATGCCCAAGGCCTTGGCGTAGGCGGTAAGGGCATTTTGGATCTCGATAACCACAATCTTCTCCAATTCCTTACCGGACGTCTGCAAGTTGATATAGGCATCGTGCAAGAAGTTCTCCTCCGTGATCTGTGCCTCAAGGTGCTGCTCCAACTGGCTGTGGATCAAGAACGGATCCATAGTTGGGAGAAGGTTTGCTGGATTCTTCGAGCAGGTGTCGATCGCCGTTTGGTATTGAGACAACAAGTTCTTTGTCTCGTTCACCTGCACTGACAAGTCGTTTTTAAAGTCGGATGCCAAATTCTTGATCTCCTTAATCTTTACCAACAAGTCCTTTCTCAAGTCCTCCAACCGGGGGATCACCAGCTGCGATAACTCCTTGAGTGTCTTGGACGCGTTCGACACGTTTTTCGAGTGGTATTGGGTAAGAATCGATGGTAGGTCCTGAACGGAGCCATTGCCAAACGGTAAAAAGAACTTGGTGGTCAACAAGCTCTCCTGGTACTGCACATCCTGCTGAGCTGCCCCGTGGCCTGAGCTCTGTTTTGGCCTGCTATTGCTCACAAACGGAAAATTGACCGCGTGCTGCAAGCGGAGCTGCTGTCTGACAATCTCCTCGTGCACGCTCACCACCTCGCGCAAGTAGTTGACTAACGCCTTGATGATCGAGCGCCAGCTATTGAATCTGGCGGCAAGAATCTCCGTGGGATTAGAATTCACCGGCAACTGGAGGTACAACGGCGATCTGACGTCCTTCACGCTGCTGGAGCCCGTGGCGGCGACGGTGCTAGTGTTTTCCGTGACATCAGCGGTAGAGCGAATCGACTTGGTGCGCTGCTGCTGCTGTTGCTGTTGCTTCTGTAACTGATATAGCTGGTACTGGTTGTTCTGGGATAGCATTGACATGGAGTGCGACAAGTTATTTGGCGCTAAAGAGTCTTGTTTCGACATTATTCTGATATTTGTCTCTGATGTGTGATTTAGCTGTGTGATTTATCACTGATATGTTTGAGAAAAGCGTCGACGTTTGATGGGATCAAGAGTGACGAAGAGGAACTAAAAGATGGTCAGGTTTTTGCTGCCCCTATCTCTTCCTCCCAGGTGGCCAGTGCACGCCCACTCTTCTCGGCGCTATACCTGCTCTCTGGCGCGCCGCAATGTGCGATCGGGTCGGGGGGGTGTGGGTGCCGGATGCTCTGGGATAATTCATGACGTCATTTTCCCGAGTGGCATGAGAGCAATAGAAGAACCACGGGAGTGCCCGGGAAAAAATTGTTATACTAAAAACGGCATCGATAGTTTATACGCTATATGTTCGAGTTTTCGGATGAGTCAGAACATTTAGTTTTCCTTGGGTAGAACTGCTACGATTAATTAAGCTGTATATATGTAAGAGGGAAATATGACCCCTGTTTGAGAGTAAAAATAACCACAATAAGACTAGCTTACACTAACAAGAACTTTCAAGAGAGGAAACTGCAACACCCCTTAAAAATATTCTTGATCATAATCCGGACCATATTTCCGGTAAAATTCCTATTTTGAAAGCTGAGCAAAAAGAATGATAACAAGCTTGACCCAGTGGAGTGAGATTTAATTTTTATACCATGAACAACGAGCCATATATTTGAAACTATGTATCAGTGGCGGGGTTTAATATCCGTAGAACAAACTTCTCCATTGCTCTAGATAATCAATCATTGAAGAATTCATTGAAAAGTCGTAGGGTCCAAGCCTAAGACTCATACTTGGATGAAGTATTCCCACCTAATCGGCTAGCTAAAAAAATAATACACTTTCCGTTTTGAGAAAGCTTCTAAATGGCGGATTTCAAATGGTATAAATCCAGATTCATCCGTCCGTACACCTGTTTAAACTTTCCAACACATTCCATATCTCACCCGTGTTGTTCATCTAAGTCATTATTACCTCTAGCATAAACACTCCAGAGAGTCATTTGAACGAGATTTTGCTCGTGCTAGCTCATCCCGGAAGCACAAGCTATCCTTTCTCCGTGGACCATCACATTTGCCCAAGCATTCCTTTGCACAACTCTTCTAACGGGCCATAGTCCCTACTCTTGATCAAGCCAAACTCTTCCACAAAAACAACAAAATGCTTCAAACTGGTGTTTAAGTGGCTTCCCAAGCCCAACTCTCTGATTTCGTCAAAATGGTGGCAGTAGATGTGCGCATACACTCTGAACAACCGCTTGAACATCGTCTTGACTAACGTGTCAAAGCTGCTCGGGAAGGGCTGCCCCATCTTAGCAGGGAACACGTTCTCATCGTCAAAGTTCTGCTGGCACCAGGACATTAACTTTTCAATGTACTGTGGAGCTGGCAACGGATACGGCTTGGAGTTTGCTGGCGGATCCTGCCACAAGTATTCATATTCCTGGGTCGCCAACATGCGCGGACACGTTTCGGGGGAGCAAAATTCTGTGATGGAGCCGTACAACATGTTTAACTGGTTGTAGAAATCTACCACGTGCACAGCGTACCATTCCTGGAGCGACTCATCGCGAGGCAACTTCACTGCCTGCTGCAAGGCCGAATCCGAGCCTAACGACTGCTCCGCGTACGACCGGATTTTGTTGTGAGAGCTGTATGACGGGTAGGCGGCGGAGCGAGACTCAGACAGCTCATTCTGCAGATATGCATCTTGCGCGTGCGGGTTCTTGAAGGCACGGGTTGTCTTCAATGTGTGCGTGTTGCTTAGATGGCTGAGTCGTTAGTATGTTCTTGTGGACAGGGGCGAACGGTACTTACAGATTCTGGAAGAAGGACATTTCGGAGATATATTTGCAGGGTTTACTTCAAAAAGAGCTTTGGTCTTGGGCTGATGAAACACTGGTTGCTTTTACTTTCGTTGTGCGTTTGTGTACGTATTTCAGCAAAATTAAAGTCGTGTTGATAGATTACCATGTTCAGACGTACGAGTCTGCTTATGTAATGTGTCCTTTTTTATCACGTGCTGTATTGGAAATGACACGCATTTATTAGTTAGCGCTGATAACTATGATTTATGACGCAGAATATCTGAACCTATTTTGGGAGAAAACCAGGTTTAGCTTATGAAGTTAGAAGAATGGGAGCCTATTGGAACATGCCAATTGGGAGTATATCAAGCTATAAAAAAGGTGTATAATTGGGATGTATCTTTATATCCCTCGAAGCCGCCTTGAACGAACTTTGAGGTATACGTACTGATCGCCATGCGTATGGCATGGAAGACAGTTCCCGCACGCTTATTCTGGAAACTAGCAAGGACTGAGACGCATAAGGTGTCTAGGCCCCAAGAGTCCAAGTCACAAAGCTCATCCAATGAATAATGTGTTAAAGTATATTAAATATTTTTATTGTTAGATAGTAAGGCGTTCTTAAGGGTTTGTAGACAGAATCCAGCTTGTTGTACGTCCGTAAATACAATGTCTCACTCTTTATCCACTAATATTCCCAACACAGACCACTACTAAAACCCGAGTTGTGAATGTCATAAATAAATTATCACCCCCTTAATAACGATTCTCTAGCAAATTGCTTTAAAGTTCCGGATACTAGGGCCAAGAACGAGTCCTCGGTTCTCCAAAATAAGCACTACACCACCCAAGGAGACAGTTTGGTAACCAGCACCCATACCATCTTGCTCACAATCCACAACTATATGTAATTTGCATTTAACTAAGTCATCAAAATGCTCTTCAAGCGATACATGACTTACAAAAAAAATCAATATCGTTTCGGTAGCTATCTCATGAACCAGTGGCTGTATGACCGTCAGTTTATCTCGAAGATCAAATCTTCCATTGGGTTAGATAATGTGTAGTTGACAGAACAGGTTCTGTTCTGATGTTTCTCGAGGCGGTCCTCAGCCATCGCTGCGTCTTGAGCACTGAGTTTCTTCAAGGGTATGATTTAACGGATTCGTTTGCCTGTATTATTACTCCGCTTGAGAGAGACGAACCGTGACCTGAAAATTCGGGACATCTATTCATGAAAATAAAATGAAGCTTATTGACAGAGTAGAGATGAGTTATACCTGAGCAGCTAATCATTTAGGTGAGGTGTTATTACGAGGGCCACAAATAGTCATAGAATATCACGAAGGTCCAATCAGAACGCTAGAAAATTTCGATGTTATAGAGTAATTCCCTTATCGTGAGAGCTATGATTTTTCTCCCTTTTAGTACGATGTATCGTCTGTCTGAATCCAGAATTCTGGTTTCAAGTTATTTGTAGTGGTACTGGTGGGTGAAGCTTCCAGACCTAACGGATAGTTTCGTGACACATCACCGAGTGACTCGATTTTGCTACAGTATCGCATAGCCCTGCATCTGGGAGTTAGTTATGATCATCAGCTACGCTTTGAGAGCTTTCAATTTTTTTTTTCCTCCAATAGAATATTGGCTCCGTGGCTCTTGTGTCTGGCTCAATTTAAGTTTCCCATGCCCATAACCCTGGTCAGTATATCGGTTTTAGAAGCAGAGTTACCTAGTGGACCATATTTGCCTGTTTCCATTGGAACAATCAAAAGGCTCGTGTATGTACTTGTTTTATCGTTGTACGTTAACCCTTTGTGCGCGTCGTATCACCCCGTGATATTTGCCCGTATGGCTCAGCCATTCATTCGTAAATCAAAGGGCCGCTCCCCTAACTATTTCATATATTGTCTTTAGAAAATAGCCTGGAACGGCTTAAATGGGCTATTTACCCCTTAGCTATCATACAAAGTCATTGCATCATGCTAGTAGGTTTGTCGATGACTCCCTGGAACCTGAATGAGGGACTTAAATAGTGGCTTCGGTTAAAGTACATAATGAATTCGATTTCGTCAAAATACCTCCATAGGCACCTGTAGAGAGTGAGAGCACTAGCTATCGTTACTCTACATTGATTCCCCTCCAATCTATATAGATAAACCATCAGGCAATAGCGGGAAGTGCGACTGGCAGGCTCTACTGCGTAGGGGCATATTATGTAAGGGCTAACGGGTATACACGGCTATATCATATGGTTTTTCGTTAGTTACGCCAAAGCGCTAGTGACAGTAGAAGGAGATTATTCATTGGTGCCAAAGAACACATGTGGTGCACAGACGGTTGGCAACACTACGTGCTCGCGTAACTGGCAGTTTCATTCGAGGACATTGGCGGCCGTAATAATTTTAGGTTGCTCCAATTCCACCACTCCTCGTAAATGCAGGTTAATAAAAATTTGACGAGTGTTTCTTGCACGAGCCGCATATATGGCTCGTGCGGAGTAACGTACAAGCTAGAGATTGTTGGAAATTTGAATCAGTACCTGCACCGGTAAGCCAAGGCCTTGGGGATTACAGAGACAGACAAAATAAGAATACAAAGAATGCAAAGCTATGTTCTACTAGCCGTTACGAGGAGACATTCCTGGAAGTGGCCGAATATCTGTATAAACAAAATTATACATGGATTTAAAATAGTCCCTCTTACTACGACTAAAATTGAACGCCTCAACTTTAAAGCTAGAGTATGGAAAGTGTATCTGAAGTCTGGAATCCGGGAGTTTTCTCTTCCGACCTACCTTGCTTTGCCAGCGTAGGTAAAACCAGGATCGCGCCCGCCATAACAGCATACGTACCTACAAGAACGGGTATGTTATGCAGCCATTTCAGCGCCCTTCAAGGATGTGCAGACCTAGACGCAGGAAAAACGCCCCATAGCATGCGTAGCAGAGTGGTCTACGCCTTGCCCTTATCCACATCCCACAAGTCGGCACTGATCGTAGGTCCCAGTTTGTTAAATCGCTGTACTCTTATGTATCACAACCAAATATAATCGTCTTATCATTATGCCAGCGTAAGTGTCTTTTTTAATGCTGTGAAATGCAAAGCTCATCGCACTATAGCTCCATGGAACCCTTGCACTGGTGAAGCAAATTCCGTATCTTATCTTAGGTCCAAAGAGGATTAAATCGCATGCGTAAAATGTAATGTCGCCAAAACTCTAACTGCCAGGTGTTTCAGTGTACTATTATCGGAATTTTTTTACACTGGTGTCGTGCGCTATTGCCAAAGAAACCTCCCTCTTTGCCTTTCTCTGCTCTGCCCCACGTACAGCCCGTTCTTGGGGCCCCTCCAGTTGCCTCAGAAGGTCCGTAGCATCATCAATAAGGGACAAAGTGGAGGAGAAAAACTTTTGTTAAACACCTGTACTACATGCCTTCCTTTGACGAGCACAGGTCCCTCCAAAGCTCAGACACAGGCTATCTTCTTGGCAAAAAGGGAAGCGCATGTGTAGTCTCATGAGAGGAAAGGCATGGGTTGTTGAAATGTGCATTAAGCCTGCAGATTCGTATACCTGATCTACGTCCTCGGAGCTATAAGCAATTCCATCATGCATAATAAACCCGGGGACTCCCCAGATATCATGTGCGTCTTGAATCGAATGCAAGGTGACTTATTTTTTTCTGTCCCTGCCAGGATTTCTGGTTTAAATAGATCCCATCGCCTCCAAAATTAGTGAGGTCAGATCTTTCTGAAATTCCACTGCAAATATCTCCCGTATAACTCACATACTTCTGCCATGTCCGATATCATGTATCCCACCACGTATCCTCCGGGGATTAACGCCAACTCCCACCTCCACGATAACTTCATTGAGCTGGCGCCATTTGAGAGAAGGCAGTTCAATGGCTTATTCGAAATGCCGGGAACGGCTTCGGAAAAGGGATCGCCCGTATTCCGGAGCAAAATATGTGCTATTACGGAGGACAACAACATGGTCACCTCGCTCCACCCCAAGCTCAGCTCTATCCACGAGTGTTTCCAGTATATGATTCGCTTACACGCCAAGAAACGTTGTTTTGCGACTAGAGACAGTCCTGACAGCGACTACATCTACCGAACGTACGAGGAGGTGGGTGAGGCGCGCGACCGCTTCGGTTCAGGGTTGGTTAATCTTATCAGGAACATTATGGGGATCGATGACCACCAGTACCGACTGGACGATAAGGATGATTTTGTTCTCACCACCCTTCTTCCTAACTGCTACGAATGGTTCATCGCCGATTTGGGCTGCATCTCGTACTCCATCTCAAACTCGGCGTTGTATGGGACATTGAGCCAGTTCGACGCCGCTTACATTTTGAACTTGACCAAGTCGCCGGTTATCATTTTATCCAAGGATAAGATCCTTTCCACGATGACCATCATCCATGAATACAAACTTAGCTCGATCAAGGTGTTGATTGTCACAGATTACGCCTCGGCGGGAGATATTCCACTCTCACAGAGGCAATTGGCGGAAGATTTGTCAATCAAGTGTTTCACGTTTGCTGAAATCTCGCAGATGGGAGCCAAACATCCGCTTGATCACTTGGCTCCGATCCCAAGCGGGATCTATACCATTTCCTTTACCTCGGGAACCGTGGGCAATCCTAAGGGCGTGGTTTTAACCCATCAAAGTGCGTGTGCCTCCCTTGCCACCTTGGTGACCATTTTCACCACTTCCAGCTCCAAAAAAAGGCATGCTCCTGGCCTGGAATACAGTGTGTTATGCATTTTACCATTAGCTCATGTCTACCAGAGGCTCGTCTGTGTGTTTGAGCTCTTTATGGGTGCCACCATCTACCTTCCGACAATCTCCAAAGATGTGAAGCAGATTTTGGCCGATTTGGTGGCTGTGAGGCCCTCGCATTTAGTCGGGGTACCACGTATCTTCAATCGTATCGACGCAGGCATCACCACCAAGATACAGTCCCTGGGCTGGATGACAAAATACTTGTACAAGAAAACCCTTGACTACAAGAAAGAGAAATTCAAGGAGGGCCAGCCGATGACTAACCACTGGTTGTACGATCGTAACTTTACCCAAAAGATCAGAACTTCGCTTGGACTAGACAATGTGCAATTGTTGGTTACTGGGTCATCTAACATGTTGCCAGAAACCATCAGGAGATTGAGATCCTTGTTGAACGCCGATTTCATCCAGGGGTACGGCTTGACTGAATCCTTCGCTTGTGTTACCATTCCGTTTGGGGAAGACGAGTACCTGCCAGTTAGCTCGGGGTACATTTCATGTACCACTGAGTTGAAGTTGAGGGATAAGGCTGATATTGACTTCACATGGGCAAAGAACCGCTCTGGTGAAATCATGATTAGGGGTCCACAAATCAGTAAGGAGTACTACAGAGATCCAATCAGAACGCAAGAGGCTTATGATGCTGAGGGGTGGTTTTTCACTGGTGATATCGGGCGTGTTGACAAGAGCGGCAGATTGGAAATTGTGGACAGAGTGAAGAATATTACCACCTTGCACGGAGGCTACAGCCTTTCTCCCGAAAAGGTCGAGAACGTGTATTTGCAGTTTAACCCCGGTCTTGTGTCTCAGATGTATGTCACTGGCAGTTCCACTCACTCATTCTTGGTGGGTATTCTTGTTCTTGACGAGCAGGAGTGCTTGGAATTGCTTAAGCGTTCAAATCAACCGAAATTAAAGAAGGTGGCGTATATGAACGAGACTAACATGAAAGAGTTGAACGACAATCTTGAGTTGAGAAAGTACATTTTGTCCGAGATAAATTCTCGGGTTTCGGATTCCAAGTTATTGAACAAGTACGAAAAAGTGGGCAATATCCACTTGTTCTTCAATAATGGTGGCCGATATGCCAAATCCAGGTCAGTGAACTACGGGTTTACAGATGAGAACGGGTTATTGACTCCTACGATGAAAACCAGGAGATATGATGCCAGACGGTTCTTTGACGTCGAGCTCAAGAACTTGTACGAGCAAGGAACAATCTGCAATGGCATCGTGTACAATAAGGTGTAACTTATGATTATAATTAGATATATGCCCAGATTGCTTGTACACTATGTATAGAGATAGCTTTGATGATCACCGAATCTTCAGCTCCAAAGAGACCGTTTTAGAAGGGGACATACTGAGAGAGAGATGGGGTTATTTGTATCCGACACATATAAGTTGGTGCGGCGTATAGCTAATTCATATTGTATGCTTGGCATGCAAACTAATGCCTGGGGTCAGCCAGACCTGCACATACCGGGCCCGCCTCGGGAAGTAGAAGATAACTAGCTCCGAATGAACTGGAAACTAGAAGTTGGGGCGTACTCGCCTTACAGCTGTGTTTTTTGTATAGATATTTGTCGATGTGTATCCATGGGTGTAGTATTGGCGCAATAAATCGAGACGTTTGATCATGGCTGGGTTCTAATGTGTATTTTGAATATTGAAATATCTGTAATACAAACAGTGGGGGATGAGTAACGCTAAAAGGCGCTCTACTCCGATCGATGATGCATATGTACCCTAACGCAGTTACTTGACGCCTCGCATAATTATTATCGTCACACACGATAGCCAGTGTGCCTCAAAGTAGAAGTATGGCTCTACACAGCCAGAACCCTTGCGACATAGATTACACGGCTATAGCAAGTGGCGCTTAACCTGAAGAGCTAGGTTTCATGCGTTGTCACTGAGACCATCTAGCCGGTCCTTGAAGATCGTAGCCTCGCATTTAGACCCCGCTTTCAGACCACACGACTTGGTAATTGTTCAAGCAACAGGCGTTTGAAGGACTTGATGCTATAAATGGATAAAGATAGATGGAATATTAAAAAGATATGAGAATAAGAGATCCAGGGGCGATGCATCATCGTCCCAACCTTTACAGCATCCATCTATTTATACCAACCCCCGGGAATAAGGCCTCTCTTTCCCTTTCACCAACTCCCTCCCCACTTCAAGATGTCTCATAAAACATTCCCGAGTACCTTTCCACCACAGTTGGACGTGACCAAATGCTCGACCACTACTGCCCTTGTTACCTCAACTCCGTTTAACCACAGTTTGTTGAACGGCCTTTATGAAATGCCCGAAACCAGCAGAAAGAGTGGATCGCCTACTTTTAGGAGCAAGATCTGTGCGAAAACCCCAAACAACAACTTGGTCACTGCCCTCCACCCCAAATTGAAATCTATTTATGATTACCTCGTTTATGCCATGAAGTCCCACTCGAAGAATAACTGCTTCGCCTCTAAGAGCTCCCCAGAAGGGTCTTATGCGTTCAAGACCTGTGCCGAGGTCTCAAAAGTCATTGACGACTTTGGATCGGGCTTGGTGTCTATCATAAGGACAATATTAAAGATTGAAAACCACCAACCTGGATAGCAAGATAAGGATGATGTTATCCTCAGCATGTTTGTTCCAAATTGCTATGAGTGGTTTATTACCGACTTGAGCTGTATCGCCTATTCCATTATCAGCACATCTCTCTATGAAGCCTTCAGCCGAAGCCATATTGAGTATATTTTAGTCGTGACAAAATCTCCTATCATGGTTTTGTCTCATGATAAGCTTTCAACCATCTTGACTATCATGTACGAGCGTAAGTTCACGTTCTTGAAGTGCTTAATCGTTTGTAATCGGAGTTCGAAAGATGAAATTTCCTCCTTTCTCTTGCAACTAGCAGATGAATTTGGGATTGAGGTGTACACTTTTGCCGAGGTTAAAAAACTCGGCGTTTTACTGCGGGCTGAGCATATTATCCCCAAAACAAACACGATCTACACTATTTCATTCACTTCAGGAACTTCCGGGAATCCAAAGGGGGTGGTTTTGACGCATCAAAGTGCCGTTGCGAGTTTAGTTTCGGTTGCTTCCACCATCAGAAGGCCAGACCTTGAAGGATTATGTATCAACAATTTGAGAGCATTATGTGTCTTACCGTTGTCCCATGTCTTCCAAAGACTCAACTGTTTGTTTGAACTCTCCTATGGAGCAACAATCTTTCTTCCTTATAATCAGACTGACCCAAAGCAGCTTATGGTTGACTTATACGAGGTGAAGCCGACACACATAATCGGGGTACCCCGTCTTTTTAACAGAGTGGAAGTTGGGATAGCCAACAGACTTGAATCCCTGGGATGGGTTACTCGATTAATTCACAAAAGGGCACTTAGGTATAAGAAGCAAAGGTTTATTAAAGGTGAGCTGCTAACTAACCATTGGTTATACGACAAGAACTTTACCCATAAGATTAAGACCTCACTTGGGTTGGAAAATTTACAGCTTTTGGTCTCTGGATCAGCTCATATTTTGCCGGATACCATAAGTAAATTGCGATCCATGCTCAACGCTGATTTTGTTCAAGGGTATGGCTTGGCCGAGTCGTTTTCGGCCATAACTATCGGTTTTAACGAGGATGAGTACCAGCCGGTAACTTCAGGTTACATTTGTTGTACCACTGAGTTAAAGCTAGATGATTGGCCTAATATCGGGTTTACGTGGACGAAGAACCGATCTGGTGAGATTCTCCTCCGCGGCCCCCAGATTGCCCAGGAATACTACAAAGACCCTCTCAGGACCCAGGAAAACTACGATGCCGAGGGGTGGCTCCATACGGGTGATATCGGCCAGCTTGATAAACATGGGAGGTTACAGATGATTGGCAGGGCGAAACATATTATCACTCTCCCCCTGGGGCAACTTATCTTCCCGGAAAGGATTGAGAACGCTTATTTACAGAGTCTGACATTTCTATCCCAGATTTATGTTTATGGGAATTCCTGTCAGTCTTACTTAGTAGGGGTTCTCGTACTTTACGAGAATGAATGCTTGAGTCTCCTTCGATCCTGCTCCATTCTATCATTAAGGAAGATAAGCTACATGGATGAGACAAATATGGCAGAGCTCAACCTGAATTTGAAATTAAAACGGTACATTCTTTCATATATTAATGGAAGGGTTACGACTTCAAAGACATCCGAATGTACCCAACTCGTGAAGAACATATATTTGTTCTTTAACAATGAACGCAATATAATTTACGAAAGAAATCGGATGGATAATAATGGATTCACTGTGGCAAACGACTTGTTAACCCTGACCCTTAAAATCAAAAGGAAAATAGCCCCGGTATACTTTGAACTGGCTCTCCTGCAGATGTATAAGGAGGGAGATATCTCTGAATGAATTTGATGCGAGGTGTGAAATTAGTGATTTTTACACCACGTATATATATAAATATAACCTTCGACGCATGTATTTATTTACATGTATTATATTTATCATATGAAATTATGACATCAAGAGTAACTAGTATAAGGAAACTGTAAACCCTATTATGGACAATTAGGTCAGGAAGGCTTAACTTTGGCTATTTTCGTTCTCAACGACTATGAGTAGCTCATTGTAAACCCAGGCCGCATCCCCTACTTTGACTATCAGCATTTGTTAACTTCCACCAAGATCTGATGACGGGACGCCCAGTGGTATTGTGCAGAACCCCTTAGAATGTTCAAACAGGGCAACATAACTCGGTTAATATCATCACAGCTATCCCGGTCCTTATATTTGCTAATTTAATATTTCCTATCAGTCCCGTTGCTTGTGTTTCCTGTCAGAGTGTTGTAAGGCATTGGAACACTTTCGTAGGATTGGTAGATACTGCCTCCTGTTTATCTCGTGACTGATCCCCACCTGCTCTAACCAACGTATCGAGATCCGTTCTGCATCGAATAGTGAAAAGACTCCTGACTATTTAAGTGCGTATGAGCGGTGAGGCACAAGGCACTCCGAATTTACGCCGCCTGTTCCAGTAAATGCGTTTGTTTTAAACTTTCAATAAAATTTGAGCCGTGAGCCAGTTATCGGATGAAGGTCCCGGTTAGTCTCTCCACTGGGTTAATACCCTTATATCACCTCGCCTACAGCCATTCCCTTAAGGCTATAACTTCTCCTAGGAGTAGCTGTTGCTCAGCCTGGGTTAGATCCAAGTCGTTATTCCATAGACACTGGTTATTTATAGCTACTTTTAGCTGTTTCTGACATTTACTCTAGCCGATTTTATATCGCTAATTCGGCTGGTTAATGCCCCTAAAGGAGATAATTTGTGTGTTCAAGTAAAAGTATTTCCTGCCCGCACCGTTTCTCTACGTATTCATGTCACGTGTGCAGGCGATATTCCACTGTATTGAATCACTTCGACAGAAGCCAGGCGGGGGTGCGTCATCCCGAAAAACAGTTATCTTGCATGCCAGCCTTTGTAGATTCACTAGGTCTAGCCTAGTGCACGGGTTCGGTGCATCAATTGGAGGCAAGCGAGACCAGGGCCATAAGGCCAATAGATAGTATACCAAAATTGGCGATCGAGAAATCTATCACTTCGGCCCATTGTTTGTGCGTTTACCGTCTCTTAGGGCCATCCCTGGTGGATACCCCACCATCCAGGACCATTCTTACTGGCACCACCCTTCTAGAGCACCAGACTACCGCTTTCTGCCTGACTATAACCTCATGTCTACGTCAATCGAACTCGGTGGGAGGTGCAGTGACGTGTGAGAAAGACGCTGGCGGACTGCAGTATGTGCGTTCTACAACCGCCCAACCCTCCAGATCGCACCCCTTGACAACGATCCCTGTACAAAGGAAAATGTCCCCTCGAAGCTTAGTATCTCGCCTTAGATCGTAAATATTTTGTGGCAGTAAAACAGTTGTCTCTGTATGGTGCATCCCTCTAAACCCCTCATTACCGCCCGATTCGACTCCTAACTCAGCAGGCTACTGCGTAAAGACGCATGTGCCATATATAGCTGGGCGTTATGCAGTGCTCTAATCTGCTTTTCAAATCATCTATAGCATCCAAGAAACTTTCTTGTCATGGGAATTCACTTGGGGGAACTCCGTATTGTATATAAACTGCCAAAGATCCAGGTTTGTAGCAATTCCCAAATGCATATGTCACCAACTATCCTCTTTCAATGAACTATATCGTATATCCAATCACAACACCTCCGTCGATAGATGGGGGAAAGAACTCCATTGATGAGGCACTCACCGTTGTGTCTCCATTTGACCGCGAATTGTTGAATGGGCTTTTTGAAGTGCCAAAGACACAGTCTAAAATTGGATCCCCCACCTTTCGCAATAAGCTCTGTGCAAACACCCCCAACCATCATCTCGTCACAACCCTCCATCCAAAATTGACATCCCTTTACGACTATTTCCAGTATGCCTCTAGGCGATACTCTAGGAACAGGTGCTTTGCGTTCAAGGATTCAGCTACTGGCCCATATGGTTTCAAGACGTATGCGGAGGTGGCAAAGATTCGCGATGAGTTCGGCTCGGGTTTAGTACACTTAATCAAGCAAAAATTGTTGGTCAGAAACCACCAGCTTAAAATGAACCGAGAAGATGAGTTTATCTTGACGATTTTTGTCCCCAACTCGTACGAATGGTTCATCACCGACTTGAGTTGTATCTCCTATGCCATCACTAACTCCTCGCTCTACGACACTTTAAGTAGAAGCCACATTGAGTACATTTTGTGTTTGACCAAATCTCCTGTAATGGTTTTGTCCCATGATAATGTTCTTAGCATTTTAACCGTGATCAACGAGAGCAAGGCTGCTTTCATGAAGTGCTTGATCGTTACGGACCGAAAGTCGATCGAGGAATGTTCCTCCTTAATCCTCCTGTTAGCCAAAGATTTGGGTATCACACTTTATACTTTTAGCGACATCTGTCGTCGGGGGGCCTCGCAGCCTTTAAATCACATCGTGCCACGGACAAACGAACTCTACACCATCTCTTTCACCTCTGGATCAGTGGGGAATCCAAAAGGGGTAGTATTGACGCATCAAAATGCCATCTCAGCGTTGGTATGTATATTCTCCGCGGCCAAGAAGCCAGTCTCTAGGGGGGTACATTGGGAGAGTTCTCGGGCGTTGTGTGTCTTGCCATTGTCCCACGTTTATCAACGGATTATTTGTTTCTTTGAGCTATGCGTTGGGGCCACCATCTATTTTCCATTCAATCAGGGAGATTCTCGACAGATCATGATCGACATGTATGATGTGAAGCCGACGCATTTGATTGGGGTTCCTCGTCTTTTTAACAGAGTGGAGGCGGGGATCGCTGCTAGTATCCGTTCTAAGGGGTGGGTAACACGGCTAATCCATAAAAGGGCAATCGAGTATAAGAAGGATATGTTCCTCATGGGTGAACCGATCACAAATCATTGGCTCTACGATAAGGCGTTTACTCAGAAGATCAGGGCCTCTCTCGGGTTAGAACACTTGGAGCTCTTGGTCACTGGATCTGCCTTAATTTTACCTGACACGATCAGAAAATTGAGGTCCTTACTCAATGTCGGGTTTCTTCAAGGCTACGGATTAACCGAGTCGTTCGCCTCCGTCACTATCGCTTTTAACGGGGATGAGTTAAATCCGGTGACATCCGGGTTTATGTCATGCACCACTGAGTTTAAGTTAAAGGATTGTGATGAAATTGGCTTTACATGGGCGAAAAACCGATCCGGTCGGATTTTCCTTCGTGGCCCGCAGGTAGCTCAAGACTATTACAAGAACCCCATCAAAACCCAGGAGAATTACGACATAGAAGGCTGGTTTGACACAGGAGACCTTGGTCATCTTGATAAAGAGGGACGGATGCAAATTGTCGACAGAGTAGAGAATATTATTACTCTCTCACTGGGGTACTACGTTTCCCCCGAAGAAGTTGAAAATATCTACTTACAATCCTGTCTGCCTTTGCTTACCCAGATGTATGTCTATGGTGAATCCAGCCGGTCATTTTTAGTGGGAGTGCTTGTTCTCAACGAGAATGAATGCTTGAATTTGCTCCAAGAAGGTTTCGTCCAATCCTCAAAATCCATTAATTATATGGATGAGACTAACCTGAAGAGGCTTAACCTGGATGTAAGGTTGAAGAGATTCATTTTAGCTCATATTAATGGAAAGGTCGTCGCATCCAGGTTAGCAAAAGGTTTTCAGCAAGTGAAGAATATCCACTTATACTTCAACAATGACAATAGTGCAATTTACCGCAGAAATCAAATGGAGAACAATGGGTTCACCGTAAAAAATGGTTTGCTAACCCCGACGCTAAAGATTAGAAGACAGGATGCCAAGATATTCTTCAAAAATTCGCTCAAAAAGATGTATAACGAAGGTGATATTTCTTGATGAGACATATGACCCCCCCAAATTATAAGGTCAACCTAGTATGCAATATGAAATACATACGAAGCCTTGTTTTAGTGTGGTTAGGGTAGGAATTGGCACGAAAAAGAGGAATACCCCTAATCGTTGATGGGGGAGGCTGTCATGTCAAGGTATTCAAAAGTGACTACGATTTTCGCTAACTGAGGGATCACATGACAAGGATTAAAGAGGTTAGCTTATAAAGAAAAATAAAACACAGCATCTAATACCATTATAGCCGCTCCGTTCCTTTTTTTCAGGCTCTTATACATAGTGCAAAGTGTAAATATGGGATTGTGCTATCCCCAACCAAAGCCTTGCGTTAACCATCGATTAGTAATCCACAACAGTACGATACTAATAGCTAATCTGTATCCGGCGCCAACAAAGTACATGGAGAGACTGTGAGGAACCTTTAATCTGCCGAATGATTTAAGAATTACAAGTACTCTGCTCGAGCAGGCTATGTTATAACCTAATGGTATGTCTAAACGTATCTGTGGTGGGGGAGGGTGGATTATCAGCCCATCAAAGTTGGGTTGAATTCAAACGCCGGTAAACACTTACGCAAGGATTCGTTCCCTGTAGAGCATGGGACGGACATAGCTTAACCCTACACCTTCCACGGTGAACAGTTACCAGCGCTACCCAGGAATAAATAAGCATCTCCTGGTCACGTCTGAAATGAAATCAACCCCGCCTATAGTTCCTACTGGTAATGAGTATACCTATTAATATACGATTGACTTGGAAAAATAGCTGTTTTACCTCATAGCTTGGCAAAGCCCCCACCGGCCACACACGATGGTATTAGGGTTGCACCATTAGATGATTGGTGAGATTCAGGAACCTACAAGACAATTAGCGTTACAGCACGTGCCTATTATTGTAGAGAGTTCCATAGTGAAATGTTTCACTAATGCGTCGTATACTTACCTAGTGTTTTTGTCGAGGCTACTATAGTATTTGTTTCACTAGTGTATCAGATACTTGCTCTAAGTGCTAAATCAAGTAGCCTGTTAGGTTAAAAAGTTACTTATATATACAGGAGTTACTTGCTGTTTTGTATAGTTTTGTTCTAAGATGTTTATCCTTGTTTTGGGACTCTAAGCGGACTAGTCAAATCTCTCAGTTGGTAATTACCAGTAGGCAGCATAACCATCCATAGAGCATCAGTTACCATGTCCGAACTAAACCCAGTTTGGAACGATAGACCACCCAGTCGGGGAACCAGTCAGATTCTGGTGAATCGCTGATAAACCCGTTTAACGAAGGCTGTATATTGTAATCATCGCTATTGATCCTACTAACCCGAGTTCAGATCTGATACGGCCTGTTTCCTCACGTAAGAGAAATTTTTACTTTAACTCTCAACTCTTTTGTTTATGAAATGGAAATTTGATCGAATGAGCATTTCTATCCGTCTCCAGAATTCTTGTGTTAAACTAGAATGCTAGGACTAGGGCCTATACGAGCTCTCATAGGGGGTCGTGGTGCGCTAGTTGGATTTCGGAAAATGAAGAAATTGGAAGAAAATCGGATCTTTGTCATCGCAGAGATTCGGGGCGTTGGTAAGTAAAAAAAGTCGAGGCGATCTAGTATTGCAGATCTGTGTCGCCCCAAGGGCTTGCTCTAGCAACCAGGATTTCGTATGCCATAGACCATGGTGTACTAGTCAAAGAGCCGGTTATGCAGCTGGCTGGGGTGGACTAAAACCTAGCGTCATGACAAATTACTAGAATTTCATGCAAGTTAAGACAGATTCGTAAAACTTCTAGATCTATAGCTGGGTAGCGTTGCACGGCTAGCTAGGGGTCAAAAGCAAGTACATGTAGTCTAAATCGCCTTGAAATATTAGCCTTGAGAAAGTATGTGTATCTTATCACTAGCACTAACAGCTACGCTTCTGGTATCATGGCTATTCCCTCATAAGTAACACATGTGTAATATCCATATTTGAGTTTATCACTCATCTTCCAACCTAGCTGAAGGAATACGTGGAAATCTCTAACAGAACTCTTCACCTTATATTGTTAGCAACTCCATGGTAACTGGCGCCAGGTACTGCTTAGTGGGGGTATCGGTTCAAAAACTATTAGAGAACTCAAAGAGGTATGCACAAAGAATATCTTATACCTCGCTTGCTATAAACTGCGCTCGTCTTAATTCCATAGAGTATTGCTGCCTAGCTCGAACAGTATATTTGATAGCATAAGATGGGCGAAAATGAACCATTTAGAGGTCTACAAATGTAAGCAGCTCTATTTACTAAATAACAATGAGGTATGTAGGTATAATGGGGAACTTTGTTGAGCTAAAACGTTTATCCAGTATGCTTACGGATTGTCTATAGCAGCATATCATTGTCATCCTACGGATAATTGATTCCTGCGGCATAAGTTATTATTCTCAATTTAGTTAGGATGTAAATATTCATCTACCTAACTGACACCATTATCATGAAAATGGTGATACACGGAGCCGTGCTGAAGAGGGGATACCCCCAAGCTAATCGATCTAAGGAATCTCTGTGTCTCTTATCGATTACTATGAACAGAAGCAATTAGTGAATCTCTTCCAACTATAATCAACAGTAAGATATTCCAGTTAGAGCTGGATTGGCGAGACTACTAGACTATATAGAAAAAGACACACTTGAGGTGACAACAATGGCTTCCAAAGGGTTGGAGAAGTTTCAATTGCCCTGTAGTTTGAAAACTAGCTCAAGAAAGAATCCAATTAGATCCCCCACAGAGTAACAGATGTCAAGTGGCATTATTGGAGACTTTGCCACGGATGAGTGATTGTTGAGATTTCGTGTTAGGTACCCATTGCTGATGGAAGGCTGATCTACATTCATCAAGGTGCTCCAAATAGGGTACTTTTTTTTTCCTATAGTCAGAATTTTTGTATAGAATGATACCTCTTATCTCCTAAATCCCTTAGTTTCTTGGTTGACGCCTGTAGAATAGCATTCTCTTGTACCGGGCACTTTGTGGTAAGGTTCTGCAGGTGCCTCATTTCTAAATGAGGCTACATGTTCCCCATTTTGAGTGAGACATAGCTTCATCAACCGATCTATATAAGAGCCGACTGACCGTTTCCTTTTATATCTATCTCGGATCTAGGGATCAATCAATTCTACCCTGTTACATCATTACCTACGTAGATATACTACATGTTTAGTTTCAAGTCGTATCGCATTTCTAAAAACCGCGCCTACCAGACAATTTCAATGGGCCAGTTATATTTCCAAACCATAGACAGGTCGTAATTGAAGCCCTTGTTCTCTATTTCCTGGTTATTTTCCCTCAGGAGATTGGCCGAATCCTGTTTTTCGCCCGACATCAGAGGGTCGTATGTGTGACGCGCAAGTAGCCAAATTCAATCTTGCTCCGACGGAGTTCCGGTTCTGTAATTCTGAAGTGTTTTTTCTCTCATAGGTGCATACAATATCTATGGCTCTCACAATCATCGTTGCTAGTCTCGTGTAAGCTAAGCTACCAGCCCCGAGCTGCCGTTGCATCTCCCAGACCTCTGGTCTGAAATTGGACCAGGAGGCTTGCTAAACTCTTAGTGTGTATTCGTGCAGGAACATGCCCGACTCCTGTCCCACACGACGCTAACTGAAAATTGAACACATAAATATAAAACAGCCCTCTTCTGATGTTGATCTGTCGCGATATCGCTATACTGTTGCACCTCCCCAGGTAAACCTACAAGTGACCACCTTATTCTTCAAAGCATTGGCCGAAGTTTTTCCCCTGGTCTATCCTGAACTTGGCCATGTCTATGGTTTTTCCTTTACCGGCTCTCATACTTTTGTGCGAATCTGATTTACCCTTGGAACGGGACACACTTTACTCCCTGGCTCCTCGCTCCCCCGACAGTTGTGTCTCCATTGAGAACTAGTGCCAGGCATATGTTAATGCATACTGCAGCGTGAAATTGGCTTTTCTAATTGGCGACAGCAGGTACGCATACATATTGGGAAAAATAGGCTTGGAGAGCGATCCCTCCTCTAGTTCTACAGCGAACGCCACATCCATAAGCAGCAGGGCCGAAGCGGCTGCAGGTTACTCTGAGGTTACACTGCAGGACGATTATTAGCTCGAAATGCGCACTAGTGGCATGCGCTTATCAGCTATTGATTCGCGCATGAATGCATACAAAAGTGTGCCCAACAGAGGCAAAGACTTCAATAGTAGTCCGGCCATTTCCCGTGTGCGGGTTTCATTGCCCTTTAATTCACTTGGTGGCTTGGTGAACAAGAGTTCACTGAAAAAAAAGAAAAGACAGTTGGAATTTTCTAGAGCAAAGGGTTTCTGTTCAAGGTGGTTTGATAGGCCGGCAAAGCCAGTGGTTTTTCTGTCGGAGCTGGGTAGTATGATCCCTTCCAGAGGTGGAAAAGAGGAACCACTCCTTTTCTAATAAAACTCATCGATGTTTGAGATAAGTTTTGAATAGAGTCACAAGTGCCATCTGTTTCCTAAACGCAGAGGGCTTAGCACAACCAGGGCTCCACGTTTAGTTGTCAGATCTATCAAGAGTTCA